ACCATCAGCTAGCACACGCCACGGTTGAATCTTCGCCGTGTCTCCTAAGAGGCTCAGAGATTGGATCTTTTAGTTGTCTTTCCAACTAATCACATACAGATGTTAGAAAAAGAATGAGCTATGTGTCCAATATATATATATATGCTGCAGTAGATAGCTATGAGAGAAATTATGGTTAATTAGGAGTACTAATTATCAAAGAAATCAATAGGAAAGACTGCAGTAGACAATTCCCACGCCCACAACACGTTGCCTAGCAAGTGGGCAATGTGACATCAGATGATGAAAGGTCTTGCAAGATTGCAATAACTTGACATTCGCTTTGTTGTTTTTTAAACCCTTTATTTAACATCTCTCTAGCCTTTTAACCTTTGTTGTTAACTACAAAATAATTCTTAAACCCAAAAAAGTTACAAAACTCTTGAAGAATATTCGGGTTGTTTTTACCACCCCATAAAAAATATCTTTAAAAAAATTGTGAAACATATATATTTAAGTGTAATATAAATAAAATAGTATAAAAAATTATATAATCTTTTTTTTTTTTTGGTACAGAAGCTTAGGGTAAGAAAGATATGATCAACAGCTACATCTTCATCCCAACAAAATACAGTTCCTTAGCATCCACAGGGAGGAGGCTACTCAAACCAGCGTGGTATAATTTTTTTTATTAAAACATAAGGATCTGTTTAAGTAATGAATGACTTTCTAAATTTTTATTCAATGCTCTTATTATATAATAATTTATGTAATAAATTTTATCACAAAATTACTGAAATATTTTTTAAATTATTTAAATATATTTTATTAAAACTTATCAAAATAAATTAACGGTAACTTATAAAAATTATAAACTATTTTTATAAATTTAAATAAATTTTGTAAAAAATCTCTTAAAAGGAGGAGTGAGGAAGGAGGACATGATTATTTCTTAAATAAAAATTTGCTGCTACTATATTATAATGAAATCTCAGTTCGAGAAAAATAAAGAATCTAGTAGATCATAATTCAGCACGAAAGCCTTCACTGTACAATGTACATTCTATTATTTCAATTATAACTTTTAACGGAATTATAAATGTGATGTTCGAAGTGTATATTTGATTTAAAGTTGAAAATTGATTTGGATCGAGTTATTAAATGTATTTGAGATATGTGTATAAATTAATCTGTATTGCATATTTTTGCTGAAAAAAAAGTATAAAAATTGATTTTCCAACTTTAAATTAAATAAGGCCTAAATTTAAAGGGACTCGAGCTAAACAAATTATTATGTGAAATGTAATTCATTTGTTAATATTTAGATAATATAATTTGAATTTCAGGCTAACTTTACATTATTTGAAGAGTTTCTACTTTCTAATAATTTGAATTAAAAAATTAATTAGTTCTTGACAATACAGAATGATCGGTTTTCTTTCGTAATATTATTTGTCTTATTCCAATTAGAACTAACTAAAATAGTGCAATTCTAGATAGACGAAAAATAATATAAAAAATAATAAAATAATTTTCATAAATTAAAATTATTTTAAAATTTTTTATTTTTCAAAAGTTACTTTTATTTAATTTTTTAAAAATATAAAGAGATAATTTATTAAAAAATTATATTTATTTTTATATTATTTTTCTTCTTTTATAAAAAATTATTTATAACAAACATCAGTATCAATGTTTTTAAAATGAATTAATTCATACATATTTATGTGTTACTAATCATAAATTTATTGCTGTTTATTAATTAATCTAATCACTTAGAGAAAACCATTCAATTAATTATTCAATATAATCAATTAAACTAACTGCGTTTTTAAGTCAACTTGCTGTTTTTAAATGCGCGCGCGCCTATATATAGCTTTTATATATAAAAATTTCATAAGTAATGTTTCCTATGTTCATGTGAATAATGTTTTAATTGAAGTTTCCAATTTAACAATCATCGTAATATGTTGAACTATTAATTCAAGATACTGGATACATCTTAATGCAAATAACATGTTTATAACTTAAGCTTAATTTGACCTTGTATGAGGTCAACTTGCTTTTTAATTCATTTTTTAAACATCACTCTAATATGTTATAATATTTTATATTTAAAAAATTAGCACATCCAATTCAACAAATTTAAAATAAATTTAAATATTAAAAATTTACAACATTGTCATTTTAAATTAAACATTAACTATATTAATAGATTGAAATAAAACACCAACTATATTAATAATCATGAGTGAAGAATCATCAAGCCACGTATACTTTAACTTATTTTAAACTACTTTGATTTTATAAAAATAACTTAAAAATGTTAAAATTAAATAAATAAGTCCAAACATACCAGTTATTACATATTTATTTATTACCATCGTTTATCATGTTATAATTTTATTTTGACTATAAAGTCTTCAGATCAAGTCCAAAACTAAATATATTTATCACCATAAAACGAGGCATCCCAAAACTATGAGGGAGTTGTTAGTATTAGAGAATTATTGTCAGCGCGATAAAAATTGCAATATTTAAAGTTAAACATATGCTTAATCTGAGGTAAATCATGATTACAATTTTGGCATCTATTATAAATTAAGGACGCAACGTGCGTGGTGACGTGTAAAAGCCAAGGCACATCATAAAGGTAGCACCCTGCATTGCTTTTCTGCTTTTGGTCAGCATAATATTTTAGCAAGAGAATCCATTAATCAAATTAGCAAAATTGTGGAGATATGCTGTTCTAGAGATAAGAACGATGACCAAAGGGAAGTGTTTAAATCCTCTCAAATAAAGAATATATACATTTAAAATAAAATGCATTTGTTATTGTTGATTAAGTAAACGTCAAAAATTAAAATTTCAAATACATTATATAGGCATTATTATATTTTAAAATATCAACCGTTAATTATCAAAATACAAAATAAATATTATTAAAATACAAAATTGAGTACTGCTTTTTTTTTTTTAATATAAAGATTTCCTCCAACGGGCACAAAGTAGCACGGCCCGCGCGTGCGAGTTAATGCTTATATAAGCCCAACATTCTTCAAGAGTTTTTTTTTTTTTTTAATTATTACTATTATTATTAATATCGAACTCTATATATATCCTCCCAAAAAAAATGCTGACTATTCGAAACTAAAAAAATAATTGTAAAATATATATAAAAAATTTAAATTTCCTCTTTAGTTAAATGACCTCAGGTCAATAAGTTGATATATTTTAAGGCACTTATTTTCCAACCCGAGATCTATTTATATATTTTTAAATATAAACAGAATTCATTACCATTGCACCAACAACAAAGAGAGTAATACACGGTGCATGTTGTGGTAAAAAGCTGTGGCATATATCTCTAAAGACAAGCCCAAAACAAAACATGTTGTGGTTTTATATATACACATACACTATAAATATATAAATACAAAATATCTCTCTTTTCAAGTGAGAAGAGAGTTAGTCATAAGCGGTTGGATGCAGAAAAGAGAAGAGTTGGTCGAGATTAGGAGGATGGAAGTATCCATTCTTGGGAGGGTCTCGTTTCTTCCCAAACGAAAATGCCTTCTTCTTTGGGGGCGGCGGTGGCACCAACGCCGTCGGTATCCGACACTCCCACCGATTCGGCGTCGAACAACCGTCCGTCATCTCTTCCCCCAAAACGACACCACCGTTCATCTTGCAATAAGAAACAAGCAGTGACTAGTGAGTGGTTCTCTATTTATTTATGCATACAACATCTCCAATTTCGAAATTCGGAAGCGAAAGATTTATGGCCACGTGTGAGCGTGGCTTCTTCTGGAAGACGCTACAACATTGTTTTGTGGTTGTGATGGTGACACCTAAGCAATGATCCTTTATACGTGGCGCCAATGTAAATTAATGAACCATGGGTTTTTTGAGTTAGGGAACTTCGCGCGCTTTTGCCCACCGCCCCTCGTGCATTTTTAAAACAAATAAAAATAATTTATAACTTGTTTTTTTATGAAATGAAATTTAAAAAATGATTGAATGAAAAAGGTTGGCTAGAGAAGGTTATTGGAAGGAATGTTGATTGATTTTACATAATGTACATTTTTTTTTCATACACACACATGTATATATATATATGTTTCAAAGAAGGTATTAATATATTTTGAAAGACTAAAAAAGTAGTGATATAATTGGAAAAGGAGGGTGCAAAATAAGGGAATCACCTTCGTATTTTTTAACCCTTGCGGCCTTTTGGGCCACTGGTTGGTGTCTGGACATGCCGCAAGAATGGTAGCCCAATCCCCTCTCAATTCTGATACCTGAGGCCAATAACAGTGTCTTTCATTCAATGTTTTGTTGCAACATTAATGTTTTCGCACTCCCATTTGCATGACTTCGCCCAAGAAAAACGCCTTTAATTTGCATTCCTCACAAATCACAATGTTTTGCTTTTTGCTAGTGTGATGGAATGTTCCATTTTCCTTATCATCCACAGTCACATCACCTCAATTGTAATTTGAATAATATCCTTTCCTCTGATCTTATTCCTATTTGCTCTTTCATTTGTAGAATGTTAAACATTTTAAACCTTTTCATTAATTATAACTTAATATTAAATCTGGCAAGAGACACCCAATCCCGTGGTTATCTAAAATGATCTCGTTTCACGTAGTTAGCTACAAATCATAAAAGAATCAAACTACAAGGAATTTGACCCTTTTTTTATTATAAAATAAAAAAAGGCACCGACAATTCTAAAATTGACCTTTGCTTCAATTATATTGCAGTTTCGCGTTATTACTGTAATAAAAAAGAAAAACAAAGAAATTATATAAATATAAGCATACATGCAGCTTATCATTATTAGGTTTTTGCAGTTAATACTGCCTGAAAGTGAGAATACAACAACATAGTAGGAAGGAACCTTGCAAGTTGCAATGGAGCTACTTCAATGGACGTTGCCGCGTAAAAAGAAAGCATAGGGGTAGTGGGGGAAAAGAGAGGTGCATTAAAATTTGAAGACAAGAACGTGTCAATATGGGAGTGGACAACGTGGTACAAGTCAAAAAGATATGGCATCAGCCATTGAGTTTCTATTTCTTTTTCTACTTCTTGATCATAAACCCTCAACACAATCACGTTCCCATTACAACTACCACTCACAATCGCTTTCAGTCGACGCCATTCTATATTAACCCCTCAATACTCCTCTTTTTCCCCCTCCATTCTCTACGATCTGCTGCTTCTTTCTCGCTTTTGCTCTCTGGTTGCTAACACTCTGTATTAATACAGTAAGCTTATCTCTCTATTTTCTTAATTACTTGTTGATGCTCCATCTACCGTATCTGGGTTTTCATCTCTTTTCAGTTTGACTTCAACATAATGGAACGGTTCATTATTTTTTTCATTTGTCGCCATTGCTGTTTTGGTGTGAGGTGACTCACAATCTGGGCTTGAAAAAGGAACATAAAAAATGAAACTTTTGTGTGATTTTTCTTAGTTTTCTCTTCCTCCCAGTTGTTTATGCGTGTTGATGATGTTACCTTGATCTACTACCTTAACTTTGATTCGGATGTTAATACATGGTCTCTTGAACTTGAGCTCAAATCTTGCTCTTTGTTAAGAGGGCTTTCCGATTCCATGCTAATCTCCTATTCTAATCAGCACTATTGATTGTGCATTTCCATGTTTTGTTTGTTGTTTGATTTGAATTTAAAATTTTGAGTTTACCATTTTGATTTCCCAAAACGTCTTTTTTTTTCCCGACAAAATATATGGTTCCATGTGTCTCTCTATATTGGCGGTTAATTGTTTTTTCTTTTGCGCGAATTAAGCCTGTTAGTCTAAAATGGAAAACGGGGATCAGTTCCAGGAAATGTCAAAGGCGAAATACGATTGTCTTTTATTTGGTAAGCCTTCACTGTTCATGTTGAATTTCTCATTTTTGATAATTTTTGTTATCCTTATATGCTTCATTATTCTATATATCTTGTTTTTGGTATTTTTAGATCTTGATGATACCCTTTATCCTTTGAGTTCTGGATTGGCAGAGCACGTGAAAAAAAATATTCAGGGTAATGACTTCTCTGAATTGAAGCCATAATATGTGATTATTAATTGAATATGTATGAAAATGTCGCTGAAATTATTTACTTTTTAATGGATGCATTGTAGAGTACATGCTTCAAAAGCTTGGGATACAGGAGGCTAAAGTTCCTGAATTATGCTTTTCCTTATATAAGGCATACGGGACAACAATGGCTGGTCTTAAGGTACATTTAATTAAACCGTCATTATATATTAAATGCATTTTTTTATTTAGATGTGACGGGGAACGAATCAATCATTTTGTCTCTTTTCCTCTCATCAGGCTATTGGCTATGGCTTTGACTATGATGACTTTCATGGGTAATTGTCTTTACATATTTTAGATTTGTCTGCCTTTTAACTTGTCCATTTTTTTAATTATTGAAACCATGTGAAATGAAATGAGCATCTAAATTTATTTTGTGTTGAGCAGATTTGTTCATGGTAGATTGCCATATAATATACTGAAACCTGACCCTATTCTCAAGGGAATTTTACTAAGCCTGCCTGTTAGAAAAGTTGTAAGTTTCTCTGTTCTTATTGATAGCCAAAGTGCAACCTGATTCATAAAGTCTCTCTTCAGCATGATATATGTGTCATGATTGTTTCAGGTTTTTACAAACTCAGATGAGGCCCATGCAAGTAGAGTGCTTCATAGGCTTGGACTGGAGGATTGTTTTGATCGAATAATAAGCTTTGAGACTCTCAATCCTTCAAATAACAATGAAGATGGCAGTGAATATAAGCCAAGTTCCACAGGAATATTTGATTTTTATGAGTACATTCGAAGGCCTGATTCTGATATCGAGCTTCCAAAGACACCGGTTGTATGCAAACCCTTTGAAGATGCCTTTGAAAAGGTTTTTGATATGGCAAATATTGACCCTCAAAGAGCAGTAAGAACCTTAGTCATCATGATCTTGCAGTTTGTGTCTTTTGTTACAATGAATATCAATTATCATTTTTCTAATTATGTTTTTTTTTTGTACAAAATTAAATTATTTATTTATTTATTTTGCCTTTTCCAGTTATTCTTTGATGACAGTGTCCGCAATTTACGGACGGGAAAATCACTTGGTCTCCACACTGTCCTGGTGAGTAGTCCTTATGGTAGAACACAAAATTACTTTTACTTTTCATATCTTTTTCTGGTGGTAGTTATGTCAAATGGCGTACAGTAATCTCACAAAATCATCATCAATGGGCATAAAGGAAACTTATTTCAGCATTTATTATCTTTTTTACGTTTGAGTCTTCCATATAGTTAAGTTGAATGGAACTTCGTATACATTTGTCGAACATAGACCAATCTATGCATATGCACATGTTCTTATTATGAAAGTAGTCACCTATTAGCCTTAAGAAGGCCGAATTTGAAATTCACATGACATTTGAACGATATGCATCACATCACATATAAAATAAATTATGATGAAATTTGAATTTAAATGTATCATCCGAATGCAGGTGGGCACTTCGGTTCGAACTTCAGGAGTGGATCATGCCTTGGAGAGCATCCATAATATGAAGGAGGCATTTCCAGAACTATGGGAAGCTGATGAAAAGCCTGAAAATGTGAAGTGCTCTAGAAAGGTTTCAATTGAAACATCAGTAATAGCTTAATATATCCATGTTCTGAACTTATGTTGTCTAGTGCTGTATTGGAATCTGACTTTGATTAATGTTTTTGTTGAATGAATTTGATATAAATGAGTTTTTATTTGCTATTTACCCCCAACGTTTTAGAAATGTGTAAAGATTTAATTTTCAAGCAAGAGGCAAAGGCAACACGTTTTGAAAACATACGAAAACTTCTTGAGTTGGATGCATATCAAGAACTACCCCGTGTTCAATCCATGTGCCAAATCCAACGATCAGAACTCAAATGTGTGATTATTGATTTGAAGATAGCTTAGAGAAAAAAAGCTTTGAAGGCTCAGAAGGGTGAAAGTCCATAATTCTTTCTCCCGTTTAAAACCATCTTTGTCCATGTTGGGTTTTTAACAGAACGGGATCACGTGTCTGACTGAGGTTGTGAAGGTAAAATATGACTGTCAGTGCTTACCCTCACAATTTTCTTAATGCGTTGTTAGCGTCTCTGTTCCCGTTATGGATAGAATGTGTGGTATAAATATAAGGGTCCTTTCATTGGTTTAGGAATTAATAAATAAAAAATTTATTAAGATTTTGGTCAAAGTACATTAATAACATTTTTAATAAAACTTTTTTACTTTTGATTCTTTAACAAGTACTTAAGGCACTAATTAACATTTGCCTAAACAATTTTCCCATTACTGTTATGGTTTATCCCAATCATATTATGGGGATCGTACAAGATTTAAGGAATGGTTAGCGTCGAGAGAATAATTGGTTTATACAGCACTACAAATACAGCCAGTTAAGTTAACCACCCGTGGCATGAAAACGATAAATATTGATGCAACGATGATGCTGAAACAAAGGCAAAGTAATTCAAACAAGACTTCCAACCTCGAGAAAACTCAACTTGATCATGTAAATGCAATCATTGACTAAGGTATCCTTCGGATTGTTAGACGTGATAAATTCTTGCTTCATTAGGTAAAATCTAATAAATATGTACGACACAAAAAACATGGATATGCAAGAGTGGAATCTGGAGTAAGTTCTAAACAGCGTTGGCTCAACTAATACCCAACGAGTATCAACTTTTTAATGAATACTTCTTTCCTGTGAAAGCTTTGAATTTTGGCTCTTCTTCCTTCTGGGATTTCTCTTCACTAGTCCTTTTCAGAGAAGCCTAAAGAGAAAGAAAATTTGGTTAGGTGGACTAGCGAAGGCAAATATGTCTTAAAATCATCTTAATGAACTACAGATTTAGACCATTTCTCTGTCTCTCCAGAAGATTACTACTGACGAAAATTACCTTAGGTGCTGTTTGAATGGCAGATGTAGTTCCATTTGACCCAAACACAAGCTTTCCAGAAGGTCTACGACTGTGTGAAGCAGTATCTGATGGCTTAGAATCTGAACCCTTGATTTTATTGTCAGTCTGTTTCTGATTTAGATTTGGAGACGATGATTTTTCAACTGATTGTGCTGAGGGTTTACCGTCCAAACGTCTTCCAGATCCACTGAATGCACTGAACCGAGCAATCTTTGTTGCTGGCTCCTCTTCAACTGAAATCCAAAGAATAAGAATATAGTCAGAATTTGTCATATTTTTTTTACTGAAAAAACCAAGCTGACAAAATTCACAAAACATTTTTAACATATGATAAAAGAATGACAACCTTCTGGTCGTTTCCTGTCAAATGGAACAGATGTTGCCTGTTTCTCAGGTTCTTTATAATCAAGCGGTGGAGCAAAATCAACTTCACAGTCTGTTTCAATTATACTGACTGCATGAGAGGGTTTAGTTTCAACTATGTCAATGTAATACTTCTTGTTGTTATAAGCAACCATTATAGTATCACCCGTTGTTAAACATGAGTAGCTCCTAAGTGAGGTCTCCAAGCTGCAAATAATCAAGAGAAAGAAAGAAGATGTTAGCTGACACATTGTCAAAGGGATAACAATATCGTAAAAGAATACTAACATGGCTTTTGGATTGGAGATATCCAAAAAATCCTTTGTATGAGGCTGTAGCTTCACATATGTTCCTTTTGCAAGGTTGGTGTTTTTCACATTTACAATGTCTCCCTCTTCGAGGAGCATGTTTTCCATCATCTGACCATAAAAAACAGAAGAATGTTATACACTGTAAATAAAGGAAGGAAAATTCATTTGGTAGAAAATATTCAGAGAATAAGAGGATTAAAGAAGGAGAGGATCACATACCCAGTATGGTATGTATATGATCCCTTCATCAGACACGAATTCTAGCACCCCACAGTGAGTAACTCTTCCAGCAGAAGGATTTCTAATTTGAAATAACATTGGGTACTCTATGTGCAAAGATGCTGGAAAACACAACTTGTAAAAATCTAGATACACGTTGGATGAATAAGCCTAGTAATTTAGCAGGAGGGGGAAGACTTTATCAAAATGTTGAAACCAGACAAATAATGACTTACCAAGGCGATCAAGGGCCGAAGGGGGCATGATAACTGAAGGCATCAAGAATTGTCATAAGAAATTTTATAGGCACAGACAGGCTATCAAAGTTTCATAAATGTTTTGAATCAAAGAAGTAAAATGTAAGCTGTCGGTACATACTTTTATCACCCTTTTCCAGATCTGACTGCATAGAATCAAGAGAACATAAAATCAATTTAATACGTTGAATCACATGCAAGGTAAAGATTTTTTTGTTAAAGAGTGCTCTGCCTAAATTTGCATGCATATCAAGCACGCTCAAACGCCAGTCACAAACCAGGATAGTGAGTAATCTGTAGCCAATAGCCACAGATGCAAGCCCATTTAATCATTTATTTTGTATTGAGCAATGATTCAATGAATGCTTAACAGAAAGTGCAAGTATAAACCTCAAAGGATATGTTGACCTTTGTGAAAAGAAAAGTTTGTTTAGTAAAGAAGTTAGTTTAGGGTGATCGTACCTTTTCAATGAAGGAGACTGGGTAACAACGATACATCTGTTCAAAGGTTGCATCTCGATCATCTCTGTAATACGCCTGCAATATTTCCAAAAGCAAAAAAATGAAAAAAAAAAACTTAAAATACAAACTGCGAGCAATAAAAAATTTAAATTATTACGACTTATGTCACCAAATAATTAATTGTCAAGACTTAGTTAATTTCCAAGGCATGTTGTTGAAGACATTATCAAGCTAATTAATGAAACCGATTAAGTTTAAATCAATAATTATCAAGTCCCGAATCCATTGGAATTTACAATTATTATTATTATTATTGCTTGCAGAATCATATTTTAGCAATGGAAAATACAAATCCAAAAGTAGAAGGTCAACAAACCATAGATATCCGCGGACTAGAAGAAGACCAATGGTTTGCGTTTGCCTGAAACAAAGAAATTTATAATAAGTAAACGACATAGGTTTGAAACCCAAATGTTGAGGATCGCGATCCTAATAATATTTGATCAAAATTTCATCAATCATAGAGCACCCCACTGGGAACCCATGAATCTTATGAAAATCCAACCACAAAAAGTTTCATCCTTTACTGAAATAAAGATGAGATGAGAACCAACCCAGTAGAAACAGTCAATGTGATGAGATGAGAAATCTCGTGGAACTTTATGACAACCTTGGAATCGATTATCAGAAAGAGAATGAAAAGCTGCGTCGGAAACTCCGAGAGTGACCGCACCACTCTTGCTTCGCAGGACTTTCGGCTTTTATAGGTTAGGAATTGCGCAGTAAATCTTTAGAACGTGTATTTTGGGCTAAGCTTTGATTGGATCAAACTAAGCAGTTATTGGGCCGTCCCGTTTCTCCCGTGTGCCCAAGGCCCAGTTTTTCGTTTTTCTCTTCAAGGATATATTAGTAATTTCGTTTGACTTTTCTTAATCCTTAGGTGAAACAAAACGAAACAAGAATAAAATAACCTTAAATAACAAATCGAAGGGGCTAGGTTAAGGTTGCGGGTGGTTTAATCGTGGTGTTTAGAGACAGAGGAAGAGATAAATAATTTCGATAGAGGAAGTTTGAAGGTACAATGGCACGGCGAGAGCTTTCTAGCACGTTGAAGAACTTGAAGGTAATTGCAGGGAACGCTACATTCTTCTTTGTTGTTATCGTTGAATTTCGATTGCTTGTTTGTGAGATTTGACTCTGATTTTGTTTCTGAGGAATTTCTCTCTGTTGGTTGTGAAATTCATGAAATTCATGGATTAAATGATTTTGTTCCTTGTTCTTTTTTGATATTGGATAGTTTATGCAAAGGTCATCTCTGAGAGAGAAGACTGAGAAAGAAGAAGAGGTCAAACTTGATGTCAATGTTGGCGCATCCACGGCGGTTACTAAAAGATGGTATTTCTCTTTGTTAAATTAAAATAATGTGCACTCTTTTAGTTTTTACTAGCTACTACACATGGGTCCTCAATTCAGGCTATGCATCTCTTTGAAATTGCGATTTTGGATGTCTACTTGCCCTTGTTTTGTTGAAATCGGTGCATGTTACTGCTGAAATTCACGGTCTCTCTCAATATTCATATATCAAGTGGTTTTCTATTAATAACTTTGGCTGTCTAGTCAAACAATTAATGTTTCTGAAAGTTAAGATTCCTCATAGCTATCATTTGTGATGCAATATACAGTATTACTTGTAGGCTTGCACTTCGTGTTATTGATTGAGTTTATCTTGATTGCTGCTAACAAAAAAATATGGTCAAGCCCTTGTAAAACAATTCTTCTTATTTTTATATTGTCAAGTCTTAGATACTTCAAAAGTGGTGGAGTATGGTGCTTTAACCAAATGCATTGTTAATATGCTTACAATATGCCTAGATACGTATCCAAGGTGTATCCTGCAATTTTGTTACTTTCTTTTTAAATTTTATTGATAGATACATTTGGGATACAGCTCCAATGCTTTGAACTGGACTAAATTCATATACAGCCCTCTGTTCTTTTTCTCTATGTTCGTGAAGCTATAGTAAATTAGGCAGTTGTTTAGAGCAAAAACTTTTGAATAGGACTAATGAATTTTTTTTTGTGACATTCTAAAATGGGTTGGGGGAAAATATGTAATTTAGGGACATTTTGATTGGGAAAAGAATGTATTTTGGTATGAAAATGGGAAAGGTACATAACTATGGTCTTTTGTTATAATCACAGGTGTTTTTATTTTTATCATTTTGTGATCACTGTCCACTGATATGGTTATGTATTAATAAGAATTGATCTAGTCTTTTTATAAATATTGTGCAATTTTGTAAAATATGTATAGTTTTTAATTCATGTTGACATATCTAAGCCTTATTATATCTTGAATTTTTATAAACTTTCTGTATCGTTGTATCCCACGGTGGAACTTGACCGTAAAATTTTGAGGTGCCCAAAACAGTTAACATGTTTGGATGTATTGTGATTTAATTTTATTTAAGAAATTATGCATAAAAATTATATATAACAATTAAAACTTGACTGGCTTTCTACATTGATGCAGTGTGGTCATAATGGAAGGTGATCCCCATCCTGGTGCACCTAAAGGTCGAATGTCATTTCAAAAATTTAATCCTTCTGTTGATGTGAGTTTCAAGATCAAGAATTTCAATTGCTTTTTGTTATTCCCCTAGTTGATCTAAATCTTTTCATTCTTTTCTAATATCAAAGCCTTGTGTTTTTAGAAATTGAATGAGGAAGAAGCAAGACTACACCAGCCAGCATCTGAAACTACCATGTCTAGAAATCAGAACGTAAATGTCTCTTTCAGGTGGGTTTCTTTACCTAATTTGGATATTTGATTCTGTTTCTCTTAGAACTCAGAGGAATCTCTGTTTATGGTTTTAGTATGTAATATACCTCATCGCTGGGGTTTTTTTTGGCGGAAACTAATCCAATGAAATGAAAGTGCAGAAAAGCCCAGAGACTGTACTGAGACATGCAGACAACTATTGAAAATTTTTTCCTCAGATTATCCACTTGCTGAATTTTAATTTGATTCTGTTTGCATTCTTTCAGAGAAAATAACTCTTCAGTAGAAAATCCGGAATGTGCCAACATGGACAAAAAGAATTTTGAGGTTAAAGGCAATGTTAAAAGGAAACAGTCAGAAGTAATTGGTGCAGCACAATATCCCAACAAATCACCCAAGAATGATCATGATGGCAAACAATCTTTGCCTATCAATAGTTTGGGCTCTTTTAAAAAACCAAGTGGAGATAAGCTAAACTGGAACTTTCTTAGACCATCTAGTGTCAAACAATATTGATGAGTTTATTGATTATTTGATAGCATACAAATTATGCTAGGTTTGGTTCTGTTTCAGGCCTTGGGCATTTATATCCGTATTTGTGCTTCTATTAGGCCATTTTTCATTGGTTTAAACCTTCACGATTTGTTATTAAGATTCAGAATTTAGCCTGATTTAGATTATTACTTATAGATGAAAGGGCCAAATCAGAAGCCTTATTATTGTTTTTTTTTTATCACTATGTATTGTATTTTCTGAAGCTGTTGGTTATTTTGAAATTTTCTTTTTAGCTATTAAATTTACTACGATAATAAAAATGTAACGGGGTAAAAAGTGAAATATAGTTCAATTCTGCAAACATATTACGAGATCCTTAGTGACTCTCGTCGGCACAAAGTATCTCGAAACGTGGCAAATTTTATTGAAGGCCTTTTGAAATGATTCGAGTCATTATTGGCAAGTTAATTGGGAAAGCTCAGATTATTTACAACAAATAAACCTAAAAAAAAAAGGCAATACAATTTATAATGCTGAAGTGAGGTGCATATTGTAAGCGCTGACTTCTTACAGAAGACCATAGGGCAAAACGTGGCACATACATGAAGATATGCTTATCTTATACGAAATTTGCTTTTTGTTTTTTTTCTTCTTTTTCGATTTAGTCGTATAATTTTAACTAGATTTGGTTTCAATTGTGATGTCCTTTTTCTTATTGTACTTCTGTCTTTTCTGAGGATCAGTAGAAAATTTGTGCATCACCTAAAAAGGGGAATTTGTGTCATACGAGCTAGGAAGGAAGTGAATTGAACATCAATATGTAAAATGCAAACACATATGGCTAATGAGAAGTAGAAAAGCATTAGTTTATTGCACTTTTTCTCAGGACCTAAGAGTGGATTACTAGTTACAAGACACCTTCTGGACAGTGCTTAAGCAGGAACCCAAGCAGAAAAAGCATTGAGAATACGCCCTTTCCACCCCTGCAAAACCCACTTGCCATCCTCAGCCACCACAAAATCTTTGTGGTATTCCCTCTTCACCATTGTTTTGGCTTCATTCACCAATTCAGGATCCAACCTGACTTGCTTGAACCCAGCTCTCAGGTTCCTAACCTGCCACTGCTTATAGGTCTCAGGCCTTTCAACCCTCTCTGCTCCTTCACACGCTATAACATTGATGGCATCCCTTCCAAACAACCCTTTCTCAAGCATCTCCCTTTGTGGGTCTTCTCGTTGCACATTAGCATCAAACATGTCAAACAGTGATGAGAAGTGGTAGAGTGCCTCTCTGAACCGAGTCAAGAAAAAGGGTGCACTATAAGTGCCATTGACTACACCATGGATGAAGATGTTCGGATTAATCTTCCTGATCAACTTCAACACAGCATCTCTTGGGCAGTTCACTGTCACAGTTTCATCAGGCAGGTTCCTCAGCCGGTACAAACAGTTAACAACAGTTATTTCATTCCTGTCAATCTTGATATCCTCAAGTCTTATAGTTTCCCATTTTTGTGCAATGCAATTGTACTTAAATGGGACCTTGAACTTCTTGCAGTAGTTCTCCAAACGCCGCCCGGTTTCCTCAACCCTTTCTGCAGGCCGAAATCCTGGCTGAGGAAGATCAATTCCGGTTATGTGAAGCCTTGGAGGACCACCAGGTCTTTCTGACAGTTTCTTGATAAGGCAGGGCCACTGAAAACCATAGCAAATGCCAAAGTCAATAATATGAACACTGCTCTCATTCTTCACAAGACTAATGATTGTCTTGGTTGTCAATAAATTTGACATTCTCTGCAAAGGAGAGGATGTAACAAATAGTTTGTAAGCTTTCAACATATCAGCAGCAGTTGCCACTTCTAAAGGCATATATGATGGTGTCCCAGCAGCCAATCTTGTCTCAAGGCCAATGGCGAAGTAATGAGCCAAACGCTGAAGTCCATCTCCAAAACGTGAAGAGTGTTGCCTAATTTGCTTGAGTAAGTCATTTGCATTCCTTTGGTCATAACTTGCCACAGCCTGTGCACATTGGGTTAGAAGTGTCCACAAATCTACAGCTGTTCCACCTGTGTTGGTGGACCCTTTCTTTGAACGTGAACGTGTTGATTTTCCATTGGATCCTCCTACTGAATCAACAGTTTGTGATGCCTCAATAGCACAAAGGGGGGTTTGACTTCTTCCAGTCTGACATAGCAGCACCTCATCTAAGATCTCTAGTGGTTCTGAATTGTCAGAAAAGACAGCTGAAACCTTGCTGCCTCTACCCTCTTGTTCATCAGAAGTGTCATCCATTCGATAGCTTCTTTTTTCTCGGGATGCTGAAGATGAAGAACCCTCTACCACCACAAGTGGCTTTGTCTGAGACTGCCTGATATTCCAGGTTCCATTATGAAAAAAGCCAGCTTTTTTAAACTCACTAAATGGATCAGGAACTACATGGTAAGTTCTTTCTGGGGAATCAACTAAAGGGGTTTGAAGTTGTAGGAAAGAAGAGTCAAATTCACCCACAGAATTGACCAAGTCAGACTCATAAGAGTTATCAGTGGTGCAGCTGCCATTGCTCTCAAAACTAGCAGTGGGACCAAAGTTTTCATCAGGGTCTGTGATTCCTATGCTTTCATCATGGAAACAAGAAGTGATTTGATGGAGTGATGAAGGGTAACTATGGCCAAGGACATCATAAAAGGATTTTTCTTCAGCTTGGAGTCTCAAACATTCCTGCAACATGCAGGGTTTGCGCTCCAAGTCATCTTCCTCATCCATGAGGATGTCGCTTATGTATCTGAGGATGGGATTGGAATACTTGGTTACCTCAGTGGATTCTCCGCTTGAGCTTGTGCCAGAAGAAGGAGAAGATGAATCATCCAACTCAAAACCATTCATTGCTTGGTTCTGATTTGGAAATACCGAGATAGGACCATGAAAATTCTGCACAAGGGAGTTGGTAGAAAGCATCTTGAAGTCTATCAAGAAATTAGATTTTTATAAAAGATGTATCTGCAGATTGTTTATGAGAAACTAAGAATACCAACCAAAGAGAGAACAAGAACAGGAACAAATGAACAAAGTGAAAAGCACAAATTTTGTTGCGGAATACCTCGTAAACTCAGAGAATCCAACTAAAGTGTAACTGGCACCTATCGATGATTTGAGGTCATATTTTTCTTATATAGAATTTATAAATGATCCATTTTTGTAGTAGGGAAGGTTCTAGGAAGGAGGGTCATAGCCGCCAAGCCCTCTTTTGATATATTTTAATAATACTAATCAAAATAATTGATGATCGAGCATGGGCTAGTAATAGTCACTGTCACACACACGGGAGATAATGTTGTGTGTTCTATAGTCTCCAACCTATGAAGTGCAAATACATTAATAAAAATACGCCTACGAATATGAAGTAGTCAAAAGTACACAGGTGGCAAATGCAAGTGAATTCTTGATCCTCAAATTATTCAATACATCATATTCCTATATGGAGTAGCAGAGTCCAATGTGAATGCACTCGAATTTAATGTTTTCTCGCGTCCCATGATTCCGCACCATGATGGAGTAAACGATTTGTCATCAATATCTTGGGCAAAAGTAAAAAGCATTGTTTGACACCAACTACTTATCACAGAAAAGAAGGAAAAATCAAAGACAACCTTTTTATTTTTCAATGCATAATAACATAATGGCTCATTTTAGATATAACTTCCATTTGAATTTTCAACCATGTCCTTCTATGTTTTGATAGAGTGTAAGATAAAACCAGATACATACCCCCTAGTACAAGTTTTTGTGTTGACTTTTACTTTGTTTTGTCTCTCCTTTTCTATTTGATGCCAAATTCATAATTGGTGCACCATAAATTCACATGTTAATTTTACCTTGACCCTTCCTCAAAGCTGTAGTCTTCTTGAACAAGAAAACATCCACCGAATCATTAAACGTCTAAACCAACACCTTACCACTGGTCTTTTATTTTAATTTTTTCCCCTGCTAAAGAAAAATAGCTAGAATTTTGTTCAAACACAGATAATTGTTAGATGAAAAATAATTATTCATAAAATACAGCTTAAAAGTATAAATAAGTGAAATGCATTGGGAAATAATATAGCTAAGGTTGTGTAATGATTCAAAACAAAAGATATAATCATATATACTTTGTTTATTTAATTTTATCAGGATCTAAGAACCTAGACAAGATGGCTTCAGTATTAAGTTGGGTTGTCACTAGTGGTCCTTTAGTGGAATGAGACAGCATCTGCCCAAAACATTTTTTCTTTACCAAAAGAAATATAAACAAAGAATACCTTAAATCATGTTAGATCATGCAGGAGATGGCGCGGCTGCTGCAGGGAAACCAACTATAGTTGGACATGGATACCCAGAATGTGCCCTTGTATGATTTCCAATTTGGCTTGCACCAAACTGCAATCAGATTAATAATTCATAAATTAACCAATGCTTAATTCTTTACCCTCAAAGTAGAAGGGTTCTTTATAAAAGTTTCAAACAGAGGAAAGGAGTAAACAGGTGCATGCCCCCATGAGAACAAATTGTGTCTTCCCGCACTAAGAACTACATAGTGGAAAATATCAATCATGGGACGGAGGAAAGCGACGTTCAATAAAGAATCGGAACCAATCCTACACAAGCGACCAAAAAGCAAACCTATATACATATTCAACCAATATGCATTAACCTTTAGCAAGGGTGTAAGGACCATGATTTTGTACAGACACACTATAAAACATATTTCTAGTTATTTAGTAAAACTAATTTTGAAAAAATACAAAAGAAAATTGTAGATTTCAATGTCAATTTCATTTTTCTAACTCATAACTTAATGATCCTCTAGAATCAATAATCAAAACTAATTCTCTCAATTTTCATAAAAACATTAACGAAAAGGATGAGAGAGAAATAAACCATTTCATAGAACCTACTCACTGAGATGCCGTTTCTACAACAGCACATTATTAACATTTATAATTAAGCAGCAATTGCTTAATTAAGCAATTATATCTATTAAGCTCTCCAGATTAGGTAGTCTCTAATACAAATTCTTAACAAACAATAGGTATTTATTTTAAAAAGGTGATTAAACACCCTCTATTAGACATGCCCTTGGATAGAAGTACCATAGGACATTTACCCTTTGCCACAGTAACTGTGTAAATCATTGAAGCATTGGTCAAAATAGAAAATTTTCTTTTTTCCTTTTTTAATAACCAGAATCTGTATAAACCATAGAATACAATGGAGTAACAACAAATGGGAGATGTACGAAATTACGAATATGGGTCCACGGTCAGATTGACCCACCTATATTTTTTGTGATCTTTATGAAACACCCAATTGCACTCCTGTCCAATGCACATGTTAAATAGGCACAACATCATGTACCAAAAATATATAAAAAGATGAATGAACACTTCACCAACGGAGGAAAAGCCAGGGGGGAAGTGAAACAAATACATATGCCATTCTAAATTCCTAGAAAATGAAAGCAAACAAGAGTCTCATGTACAAACTTTTCAAATTAAATCACATTGAAATTGAAAGTAAACAACATATATTATTCTATTTAATAATCTTAGCCCAAGTAGGGAGAACAAAATGAATTGAAGCTCTGCAAACAAAATTGATTTAATAAATTGTCCGATTCCACACCTGAACCCTTTGAACGAAACATCCTTCACACCAAACAGAAATCAATTCTATGTCGAATATTCAATGGTTGCAAAGTAGGAAAAAAAACGACTTGCTAAAATGAAAGCAAGAGAATGAAATATATATATATATATATATATATATATTCCACTTTCAGCCATAAAATTATTGAGTTAGGCTCTGTTTTTTTATCTACGAAAACAGAGATTTATTGTGATAAAAAAAAAGAAACCTAAGTCCTTGTTTGTTTTAGTGTTGAAAAATTAGTTCTCACATTTTAATATAAATTTATGACTGAATTATTTAGACACGCCTCAATTCCGTTCGATAATTTAAACTTAAAATTTACCTGACTTCAAATCAAATGAGCCTTAAAATTTTCTCTAGGCGGAAAATATTTCCAATTCCAGTGTAAATCCATTTAGAGCACCAAAAGTTAACAAGCAAAGAACTACATTCTTGATTGCAATTAAAGAGATTTTACAAACACAAAATTGGTGAGAAGCAACCTATAAGAGAAACACTTTAGAACCCTTACATAATCAATACTATTTGGTCACTATAAAGAAAGGGAAGAATTTGTGTGGTGTGCATGCAGGGTCTACAAAGGTAAGAGGGAGGAATGCTACTACTAGTGTAGTGTCAAGAAGAGAGGGCACTTGATGGGTGAAAGATTCACAACATGATCAACAGACTAAAAGGCAAAGTAGAAAAAACTTTCGGGTCCAGACCGTCACTGATCATATACTTCTTAGCAAAGCTTCATGGTCCAGACCAAGCAAATGACATACGTTATATCTGTTCAGCACTGGTAGTTGAAAAAGACATTGTCATACATGGCAAGTTGAAATTGAAAATTTCATTTGTGAAGGAAATAAGCATTGAATGGCACCTGCTTCAAAGGTCAATACTCAATCACATTATTTCTCTTCTCTTAATTGAAAAATACCTGAGATTAGTCAACCAAACGGCATCCAAGCAAAGTTAAAGCAGCATTCAATAATGTTTATATAATAATAGAATGAGCAAATTAGAAGCTATTTTTCCGTTGAGACCCTTCTAGTGGAAACTGAGAGAACTTCATTGGCGCTGAATTAAAATGAAATTTCAGGGACACAAACAAGAAGCAAAGTTGTCACGGTAAAACTAAATGCACAGTCATCCATTTCAAATTAATCAGATCAGCAGCTAATTGATCTCATGACACGAGATGTACAACTTTTTACCAAAATATTTTTTTTAAAGATTTGAAGTGCCTATAATACATGTCAATCGGAGAGAAAAAGGTAAAACATCCTAAAGAACATTTTGACTGTTAATGTTCTGGCATACATGCTAAAAGCCAAAAGGCATTCCTACTCTAACATTCCCTCCTTCTTATCATTGTAGGATTTGGTGCTAATCTGGGAGGAAATTCAGCCACCATTATGCAGTGTCACTAGGTGCAAAGCTGGGAAGAATATTAATCACAGTTAAAAATAGCTCAAGGTTACCTGAAACCATCAAAAGAACACAATTAGAATTTCATTGTTACATCATATATGCTGTACTAACTCTAGCAAGTAGCAACATCCAAACACTACTAAGATTATAGCTCAAAACTAAACCAGGATGAACTATAAAAGTGATGATTAGAAACCTACAAGTAGTTCTTAGAATACCTTTATCAGTATGAGTTCTGAAACAAGAGTTGAGCGACATATCACTATGCCGGCACCCAGCAAGTTGAAGCATACAAAATGCGACCCTTCCAACCTTGAAGCATCCAGTGGTTATCTTCATCAAAGACAAAATCCCGGTGGTACCACTCTCTTAACTTATTCCTAAATTTGGCCATTAGTTCCTTATCGAGTGGGAGCTGCCTAAAACCAGCCCTAGTATTCCTAACCTGCCATTGTTTGTATGTTTCAGGCCTCTCGACCCTCTCAAAAGATTCACATGCTACAACATTCATAATCTCCCGACCCAAAAATTCACTCTCAAGCATCAACCTCCATTGATTGTCACGGGAAATGAGAGTATCAAACATATCATAAATTGCAGAATAATGGAACAGTGCCTCCCTGAAGCGTGTGACGAAGAAAGGGGCGTTATATGATCCATTCACTAAGGAATGAACAAAAATATCTGGTTTCATCTTCCTGATTAAATTCAGAACAGCATTTCTAGGACTGTTCACTTCAATTGTCTCATCAAGCAAATTCTTAAACCTTACCAGACAGTTCACAGCAAGCACCTCATTCCGCTCAATTTTAAGCTCTTCAATTTGAATGGTTTCCCAGTTTCGCGATGCTATGGCCTTGTACTCGAAGGGAACATTGAAACGCTTGCAATACTTGTCTAGACGGCGACCGGTTTCCTCAATTCTTTCTGCTGGACGAAAGCCAGCTTGGGGATACTCTATTCCTGTGACGCGCAGCTTGGGAGGCCCTCCACTTCTATTTGACAAAAACTTGATAAGAATTGGCCACTGGAAACCATAAAGGATACCAAAATCAATAATATGAAGTGTTTCCGCCTTTTCAGCCATTTTCATAATCATCTTATTTGCAAAGAAATGTGCAAATTTCTTGAAAGGGCAAGCTGATATAAATACTTGGTAAGCCTTCAAGAAATGAGTAGCAGTGAAATTCTTGTGGCTCATATAAAATATTTGGGTTCCAGTCCCAGCAGCACCAACCAAGCGTGTCTTTAGAGCTTCTGCAAAATAATGAGCCAGCCTCTGAGATGCATCACCTGATCTAGAAGAATGCTCCCCAATCTGCTTCAGCAGTTCATTAGCAGTCCTGTTGTCACTGGCAGACACAGCTTGTGCACATAGAACCAAAAGGGTCCTCAAATCCACTTCCTTCTTCCTTCCTTGTTTCTTGGAACGAATCTTCCCTCCCTCAAACAAATGTGGTTGTTCACTTAGTTGTGCGTTAATGTTACTATCCACCACCGGTCCATCCTTCTTTTCAGCACACAGTGGCACGTTTTCAACACTAAGCAAAACCCTGTCAAATATTTCAGATATCTCACTCTCCTCCTCAACACAAACCGCATACTGCTTGTTGCTTCTTCCTTCCTCTTCATCATTGCTATCTTGCCGCTCATGATTCTTCCTACCCTTCAACCCATATGATCTCTCCCTCTTCTCTGCTGCCTCTGCAGACACCTTGGTCTTGGTGCTCTCCAACCCAGTGAAAAGCTGAGGCCTTTGTGGAAGAAACTTGCTAGCTTCCTCTAGCCCTCTTCTAAACTGCAACATAGAGTCTGCATCACTAAATATATTTTCAGCCAAGAGCTTGGTTGCAGAAGAATCCAAATCTAATAGTCCGTCACTAATATTAGTCAAACCATGCTGAGGAACTTGCAAAGAGGGCGTGTGGGAAAGGGAATGGAAAGCATAATCACCACCAGAAACAGGTGAATCGGGTGAATGAGGTTTCAACTCATGAGAATTGGCGCTGCTCCCAGAATCAGTGGTGGAATTTGAACCATTCCCATCAGGGCTCTCTAAAGGGTGCTGATTAGGGGAAAGAGGTAGTTTTGGTTCCAAAGCATCATAGAAGGATTTCTCAGTGTGTTGCAGACTCAGAGGGTCATAACACATGCATGGCCTCTGTTCAAAGCTCTCTTCCATGAGAACTTGGCTTATGAACTTGAATGTTTCTGAAAAGTCAGCGTCTTCAAGGGATGGATCCGCTACCGTGGCCATGGCAACATCCGAGGATGCAACAAGTGGCTCTGAGTTGAAGCCTGTATTCGGAGGAAAACCAAGTGGGCCCGCATCGGATGGATAAAAAGTAGGATCAGAGACATGAAAATCCCAATCGTTTGAATCAGAAACTAGCACTAAATTCCCTTCATCATCAAAGTTGTAGCTACTTCCAACAAAGTTTGAATCCATAGCAGGATCACAAAAGGGTCGCAGCAGCAGAGATTTTGAAACACAACAAGTACAGAGAAAAAAAAAAACACTAACACAAAAAGGAAACTATGAGTCTATGACCATGAAAAAGACGACATCATAAAACAAAACAAAAAAAACACCTGAAACAGATTGGAACCGAACAGAACCAAACCAAACTAGTAGGACATGACTATGATTATGACTGAGCATGAATTATAGGAGTTGCAAAGCTATGTGTTGGGTGGAAGCTCAGAAAGAAAGTGGGTTTCATCAAAGGAAGGATAAGGGATTAAAGGTGGCACGAGTAGTAGTTACTGGTCAAGTTGTTGGTGTTATATTATATAGACACAGGACCTCCTCTCCTCTGACTACAACTTTTTAATCATTTGTCATCTGTGATACGCGAATCTTCGCCGAAGTTAATGAGGATGTCAAGAATAAATATTACAAACATCAAAATTTTAATTGTTTGCTAATATATATTTAATTTTTATTAAATATTGCGTTAATATACGATATTTAAAAAAAAAAATTTTAATTAATATGATCTACTGAAATAATATCATATGTTGTGTTACTTTTTAATCAACGAGACTTGCTCCGAAGCCAAATCCATCTTTGCTAAGTGAAAGTATTTTATTCAAGAAATTGGATCAACTGTTTAGTTTGTGGAATTGATCTGAAATTGTTGACGAATTCATTTCGAATATGTTTAACTTTTTTGTTACATATACACTACCAATAGTTTTAACTAAAATAATTTTTGTTTATGAATTTTAAACATATTATATTGTGGTATTAAAATAATAATTATATTTTAAATAAGATGTTTCATTTATGAGATGAGATTACATCTCAAATCCTATAATTTAAAATAAACTCTATTTATGTTCAAACAAGCATGAACTATTGTATCAAAGGGTTCTAGTCGAGTTAAATAGGGCAAAACTCAAATCATAGAATCAACTTTAACCAGAGGTAATTTACTGTAAAACTATTGAGATGGTATTAATTTATTGTATCAAAGGTTTGAAATGATTTTTGTAAGATTTGTTTTTAAAATAAGCTAATTCAGTGAAATGAATTTTATTTAGATAGCATTCTTCTCAACTTAAAATTTTTAAGAAAAATAAAAGAATTCACCTATCAAATGTTTTCTAAGTGTATACGTATAAAAAAAAAAATTATATAAATTTCATATTTGCTTTTCCATATTCCGTGTTTATTTTACTTAATTATTTTTGTGGTATTTTAAAAAAATGGAAAATTTATAATAATATTTTATTTTATTTAATATATTAATAAACCGTCATTTTTAATTTACTTGAGAAAAATAAAATGGATTTTATGTTCATTTACGAGTATATATTTTATATTTTCTTTTATTTTCCCGTAAGGATGGAAAATCAAGAACTTTGTGATTTAAAGAATTTAAAGTTAGAAAAAAAAATTGAAAAAGGTCCAAAATTTAGGTTAAAGGAGTAATACTGCAAAAATTCAAAACCTAATTCATAAAATAAAAGTTACACGTCCATCTTAGTACTACACACCCATGCACATGTTTTACACACTCATGCTTCTGAATATGCATTCTTTTTCTTTTACGTTCTCTGTTTTCTTAAAGTGTCTTGGCACGTTGTTTAGGTTTTAGAATATCTGGAAGAAAGGAATTTAACTTTCGAACTTATTTTTCATCATTATATCATCACTAAGCCCATAATTAAGACATGATGATAAACTTAAGATATAAACTTTGTTTCTAATTTCTTTTTTAATGTTGTAAGTTTATTCTATTGCTGTCTATGTTAGTTAGTTGTAGGAGAAAAACTGATTTAATAATTTACACAATCATCTTAACCGTATATTTTTACTTAGTTATTAAATTAATAAATATATTGACATTCAGAGTTTTATCTCATGTATTATCTTGCAAGATCAATGGCAGTAATTAATTTTAAAAAATTATTAGTATTTTATGATCATTGAACAATAATAGAATTGGAATACATATTCAATAATTGGTTAGAGAAATATAAAACTATAAAAAAATATATGAATAAAATAAATATTTAAATAAAGTAAAACATTCTGAATTTTTTCACACTCGCAATTTTTTTATTTAAATAAAGTAAAACATTCCTCATACTATCTAGCAGACGTGGTATCATCGTAAGGATGAGAACTTTCCAACCTAATCAGGTCACATAAAGTGTCTTATGTCTGTGTCAATTTCAATATTTCACAAAACTTGAGCTCTGAAATGAATCTCAACATCGTATGGGTATCCTATTTGGAAGCTACTGGTTCCTAACAAGCTGAACATACTTATTGGCAACTTATGCACAAGAAAGTTAGAAATGAATGAAGCTCTTCACCAACCACTATTGAATAAAATCAATAGAGATGCTATCATGTAATTTGTGATGTTGGATCTGACTTTTTTACAGTGAAGCTGTCTATTATTTAAGAAATCTTTTATGCTTATAAAACTTCTTCATTAATGTTTAAATGAAGAAATTAATAAATATCTTGTATATTTTAAAATGATAAATATATACAATGTCTTATTCAATACTTATTTTATAAAACAATGGATAAATTATTAAGAAAACCATTAGAAAAATAAAGTAAAATTATTTTAAAAATTAAGATACAATTATCTTATTACATAAAAAATTAATAGTTAAAAATAATAAATTTATTATTTATTATATATGTAAATCACATTTTAATAGTTAATTTTTTATTAATATTTTAATTACATTTTATTCTCGATTCATCCATATCATGGTTTATGTTTCTGCAAAGGATATATTCATTTTTCTATAATTTCTATCTTTGTGTTTTGCTATAACGTCCTTGTAGAATATTGAAGATTCTTATTGTGTATAAAGGAGAAGGTACTTGCAAATACACTCTGATAATAAAGTTACTGTTCGATATAGAATAATAAATACTATTAAATATTCTCAAGTTAATCCTTATACATGTCTTTTTTATTTTTTTTATAAGCATAATATTGAACTAATAGACTTGATAAGTGAATACTAAATTATCTTTCTACTTGCTTAAATAATTATCTTTTTTTATTAATTAATTATTTTAATTAGCTTGTTAATTTATTTTAATATGATCGAAAGAGTGTTGGTACTTCACATCTAAAAAATAAGGCTGTAAGAGTGTAAGTACCTTTCATCCTTAGGTAAGATTTAAAAGGTATTTAGTATTTTTTTTTTTTGTAAAAATAACTGAGTAATATTTAATCCAATTTGTATTTTGGTAACTTATTTTAATCCTTACGGTGTGGACGAGATATTTAATTGGGAAAATAAAAATTATAATATAATTAACTGTTTTAAATGTTCTGGATAAAGGATTTTTTTTACGAGTGAAAACTGGCTTTTGAAACGTACGCAAAATAAACAGTAAAACAACATATACATAAAGATTTAAATTATCAAAGTCAACATTCTTAGATAATAAACTCAAGTTTGTTTTTGTTCATCTGAACACGTGTTATATATGTATATAACTAAGATGAACATCTCTTATGAGAAGAGATTGTATAAAGTAAAAATTTATTTATTTTTAATTTAAATTAATATATTTTATGAATATGATTGTCTCAAAATTAATATCAAATAAAGTCTAACTTTACACGAGGAGTTAATGCCTTAAAAAAATAATATATATATATTTTTTTAAAATAGATAAAAATAAGTATCTTTTTAATCACATTTTTATAATTACTAAATTTTGATAAAATTTGATAAAAAAGTATTAAAATAATATATAAATATAATTACTAAACAGTTTTTTTTTCCTAAAAATATTTTTAGCAATTTAAAACTCATAAAATTCAATTTCTGGTGCTTAAAACAGTTTAAGTTAAAAAAAATCAGAAATCTGCTGTGAGTTGCCTTTTTAGGAAGCATGTATGTGTTTGTTGTGTGTCTTATCTGTTTCTGCTTAAAAATATTTATCACCACTATTAGTTAAGTAATTTTAATATAAAATACCCCTTTTATTTTTACTTCAAATTAATAATAAGTTATTTAACTAAAAAAATTAAATTAAATTATCAATAAACACATGCCAAAAGCAATATACACCCCTAACATATTATAGATAAATTATTTTATTTGGACGTCATGATCAAGACGAAATAATATAACTAGTAAATTGTTTGTTACTTAGTTCCCAAGCCTTCCAACTTTCTCAATCCGTACGCAAAAGGTAAATCTTTGAGGGGAACAAGTCTTTATTTGAAATCAACTATGTACTAATTTTTAATAATAAGCTATTTGAATTCAATTCAAGAGTTTTCAAAGACAAATGCTTTCTGGACATTTTCGCGTGGGTGTGACAAAAGAGGCAAAACACATCCATGCACACACTCACACATGTTATGCACACCCGTTTAAATTGGTCACACACGCATATTGTGGAATGCAACTCTCTGACAATAAATTAATTAATGAGGTATGTATTGGGAAGCAGAAGAACATGCAATGACGAAATTACGTTTGGATTCAGCACAAAGGGGGTTGACTCAAAGGAGGGAAGTCAATTTTATCCTCTCACATATACTGAAAGGCTAATCAGCATACTGGTTGACTCGCTAACTCAAGTTTGCGTATAAATTTAAACTGTTTTAGATATTTTAGATCTGATCACATTTAAAATTCTAAATTTATATAAGGCTACAAAAAGGATTTTTTTTTTATGGAGTTGGGCCTCTCTCCCCTACCAACATGGATCTTTTCTGCAAACTATTTTGGCATTGCATCCTATTTCTTTTTAGTATTTCCATCTGCATACTTTGAGATAATATTTTTAAATTATGATGTCAATGCGTCGTATGAGATGGAAAAGGAAGAGAGACAGAAAGAAATGAGAAACTGAGTGTACAAGATAGTGTGAAAATACTAGGACTCATTCTCTATATAGCATCCATTTCCTTGTCCTGCCACGTTTGTTTTTGTGATGGTTTTAAAACTTAACAAATTATTAAACTGATAAGGTATTGGTCTATTGGATGTGAGGAACCAGCACTGCTGAGAACATGGTGGTCAAAATCATAGGGGTATGTTTACTTGTTCTTTGTGGTATTGTTTACGGTGTACATATGTTGAGAATGTTCTACTTCATTTTGACATTGTTCAGGGCTTTCAACTATATCTGTAGAATTGCTAGACATGTAATGATACTGAAAAAGCTACATATTGAAAGAAATTAACTATTTTTGGTTCAAGTAGATAAACAATTGTGTGTAAGAGGAGATTTTGTAATGTGGAAGTTATACATAGTGTAAGGCCTATGCTGGTATCCAACAGGAGGAAGCATGTAGGATTCGGCCCTTCCAACCCTGTAGCATCCAATTGCCATCCACATCAGACATAAAGTTAGTGTTGTGACCATCACCTCTCAACCTATCCCTTAATATATCAATGATTTGGTGATCCAAAGGTAGCTGCTTAAACCCACTTCTCATATTCCGAAGCTGCCATTGCTTGTAAGTCTCAGGCCTCTCAACCCTCTCACTACCTTCACAAGCTATAATATTCATTACTTCTCGCCCAAACAACTCCTTCTCAAACATAAACCTCATGGGATTTTCACGAGCAACATTGATGTCTAATATGTCAAAAAAAGCAGAATAATGAAATAGTGCCTCCCGGAACCGTGTCACAAAGAAGGGTGCATCATAGCAACCGTTGACTATACCATGCACAAATATATCAGGATTTGCCTTCTTAATCAAACTCAAAACAGCATCCCTGGGATTATTCACCACAACTGTCTCATCAAACAGGTTCTTAAACCGAAACATGCAATTCACAGCTACAAATTCGTTTTTCTCTATCTTGAGATCCTCAACTTTGATGGTTTCCCATCTCCTTGCAATGGCATTGTACTCAAATGGAACATTGAAGCGCTTGCAATAACCTGCAAGCCTATGTCCTGTCTCCTTCACCTTCTCCTCTGGTCTGAAACCAGGTTGTGGCAGCTCTATCCCTGTGATGCGCAACTTGGGTGGCCCACCGGCACGTTTTGATATACGGTTGATAAGTGCTGGCCACTTGAATCCATAGCCAATACCAAAGTCTATAATGTGAAGGGTTTCAGCCTCCTTGGCTAGATTCCAAATTGATTGGTTAGCAAACATTATTGCTAGCTTTTCAAATGGGCACACTGAAGCATACATTTGGTAAGCTTTTATCAGGTCTTTGGCTGAGATTATTTTGTTGGATAGAACACTATAAACATGCAAACCTGTGCCAGCCAAGCGTGCTTCAAGGGCATTTCCAAAGTAATGTGCAAGCCGCTGAGTTCCATCGCCTATTATTGAAGAATGCTGCCTAATCTGCTTTAGTAACTTATTAGCATATGAAAGATTATCAGAAGCACTAGCTTGAGCACAAAGCATCAATAGGGTCCTCAGATCCACAACTTGCTTATCATTTCCACCACCTTCCTGAAAGGTCATATTAGGAGGTGTTCCTTTTCCCAGCCCAGTGCCTAATAGTACCTTATCAAATAATTCAGATAGCTCACTGTCATCCATGTAAGTTGCTGGTTGCTTCCTTCTTCTCTCTTCTTGCAATTCCGCTTCATGTTCTTCCCACTCCCGATTCTTCCTTCCTTTTGACACGGACAGACAATAATCTCTTTCATGGGTTTCTGTTTCTGTTTCTGTCTTGATTACAACCTGCGTAGCCTTTCCGGAAAAAGGGAAAAAGGTTGTTTTTCCTGGAGGGAACACGGTACCTTGCTTTAAACCTCTTTCCGATTGTGTTGATTCAAGAAATCCCGACATGGGATTCCCCGAGAAACTGTTAAGGAAATATTTGGTGGTGGGGGTTGACTTTGACTGGAAAACAAAGTAAGGAGTAATAGGAAAAGTAATTGGCAATGTTGGGGGCTTGTAATTGTACTCAACGTTACCACACTGAGACTCGGCGGTGTTGCTGGTACTGGTAGTGCTGTAACCACTGCCAGCACTGAAAGTACTATAATCATTAGAGAGAGTTTGGTCAGGGCTCTCCACGCTGGGGTAGTTTTGAAGATGATGGTGTACGGATGAAGAAGAAGAAGAAGATGATGATGAAGAAGATGAAGAAGAAGAAGAAGAAGAAGGGTAGTTGTGGCCAATGACCTCATAAAATGATCTCTCAGCATCTTGGAGAGCTAAGGAATCTTGAAAGATGTTGTATTTGTCGTCCATGTCCTCTTCCATGAGCATTTGGTTTATGTAGCTAAGGACAGTGGCAGAGAAGTCACTCTCTTCCTCCGCACTATTGATGGTGCTGGTGGAGACTCTATTATCCATCTATAAGTTAATTACAAGGAGAAATAAATGAACCAATTCTCTAAGTTAGTGTCCAAAAAAAGGGAGCAAGACCAAGGATTTAATAGCATATCATATAAAAATGTTGTTTATGAAAAATTGGGGAAACTAAATTGACAAAGAAAGAAAAGGATTAAAGGAAGTAGTTTAGTTTGCAATTGAGCAGCATACCAATACCAATAACCACAAGGAGGAAGAAGGTTTGCTGCATAGGAAGCTTGAGTGTGCCTGCTTTATATATTATGTTGCGGACGAATTTTTCCTGGGAAAGATATAACGTGACTCAAGTCCAATTTATACCCTTCAAACCTATGATTTCTGCTCAGAGCGTGCGACCCTGTTTGCACAGTGGACTTCTCATCACTTTTTACTCAACAAATGCTACTTTTTGAATCACTAAATCTATTACATTTATTTTTAGTGATACAAATAATAAAATTAGCAATTATACCATGATTATTATTCTGTGTAACTCGTTCAAATTCAAAACTGTGATAATAAAGTCTTTGTTAAATGATTTTAATATTATTTAAAAATTTAATTAATAAGCATAGGTTTGTTAAATGATGTTAAAAGTGTTTTATTTTCCCTTACAAGCTTATACTCCCTTCTCCCATGGCAGCCCAAGCCATCCCTCTATTTAAGTACTCAAACCCTAACACGTTTCAAAAGTCCATACACGAATCATTAATCCATAACCAAGTGCTTTGGAAAGCTAAACGTTTTTCATTGTTGTGTACGAGGCCCACTTGCTCTTTGCATACTCTTCCTTCAAAATGATCATTGGCATGCAGCATGCATTAGCTAGGCATAGAGTTTTGAGGATTCATCTCTAGTTTATCTCTAGTTTGTCCCAATGTACGAAACAGCAAAAGAGGCCAGCCACCTATAAACGGTAAAATTAACAGCAATGAGAATGACCAAAGTGACTATTTGAAATAACGTAGAATACTAGCCTTGACAATTTATTTTAATTTATTTTTACAAAATGTGAGAGCACTAGTTTGTGTTAAAAAAGTGAACCACCTGGAAAGTTCTCACACTATGAATGGTTTTATTACAATGTACAAATTCATTCGGGGAGGCTACTATCATAAACTCAACAAATAAAATAAAGTTAAAATATTTAAAAAGTAAAATGCATTTGGCTTTATGGGTATTTCATTTTCTCATATGAAGTGGAGAGTGTTGATAATTGCAGTGTGTACAGAAGAAAGAGAGAGTGTTGACATGTGGAATGATAATGAAACAGAAGCCGCAAGAGAGGCACCGGCCAGGAAGGAGAAGGTTGAGATTTGTTAATCCTTCTAAACAAGAGATCACCACCGGCCACTTCTACACATGTCATATTTTTCCGGCGAGTCAACTTGGTTTGTTGACTATGCTATTGCTTGCTATACCTTCCCTTAGTACTTTCACTGTCCAGTTTCCCCCAAAAAAACAAAACAATGTTAAGTTTAGTTTCACTTTAAATAATATATTTGAATGTTTGTATTGAAAACTTCACTGCAATTAAATTACACTTGGGAGGATTCAGATCCTAGTCCTTAACATTTGTTTGATAGGATGCAAGGAAAAAAGAAAAAAAATTAATTAAAAAAATAGGTTGAAGGAAAATTTTATTTTGTAAACGTTCATTTTTTAATTTAATTTTTAAAACCAAACAGTTTAAAAACAACACTCAATTTTAGTTAGTATGATGTCTAGAATGTCCCTAAATGTTCTACAACATGTTTGCAAGTAGACGATGGATTTACCTCTAACAAATATTATTTTTCAGGGTGCTTGAAGATTTGGATAAAAATAATTCAATACTTCAGTTGGTAACATATGATGAATGATCATAACACTAAGTAACAGAGAAACAGAGTATATTTATATGCTAAACAAATATTATTTACTTTAGTATATTTATATGCTAAACATACATGTCAGGCCACGAACAGAGAAACAGAGGTTGTCTGCTTAATGGGCCTTTATACACATCAAACAGGACTTTTCCTATTTTAAACTCTAAAAGCTAAAAAAAAGAAGCTCTAATAAAAGCTCTGATATCTCAATTACTTATAGATCAATGTCGCATGATAGAATTGAGTAATTAATTGCTAAAAATTAAATAAGAGTATTTTAGTAGATAGAGTTTATCCATAAATATAATATAGAGGTATATATTTAGTTTTGTGTTCTTATTTTTACATATATCAAAATAACAAGTAATATAGACCAAGGAGAGTACATCACAAAATACTAACATGAATAAAAATTTATATAAAATTGAAGCTTACTTGCTGATTCAAAATTAAAATTATAAAATATAATCCAAACAATATATTTTGAACGAACTTTTATCTTTAGGGCCTTTTAACATTACATTATCAACACTGATGAGGGCAGCCACAATCCCTATCCTCAATAGGGTCTTTTTTTATTATTATGATTTTAAAAAAAAACTAAAATATGGGATTTTTGATAAAATTACTAAAATATGTTTTTTTTTAAATTGCTATTGACAATTTTTGACTACTTTTTTCAAAAATTGTCAATAGTAACTCTTAATAATTTCTTTTTTTTTAATTTTTTTAAAAAAATTGCCATTGACAATTTTTAAACCTTCATCACTTTTTCAATTTTTCTTTCTTTTGCGTGATTTAATAATAATATAATAATCGATTCTATAAATCTATGAATTTTTCTAACTAAATCAAATAATTTATTTATTTTATTATTGATAAAAAATTTCATATATAACTAGAACAATCCCCAAATTAACCGGATTGAAGGTATAACATCATTTGTGAACTTTTGTACTTACATGGCAATTTTTAAACATCATATTTTTGTAATTTTTCAAAAAAAACCATATTTTTGTATATATAATTTTTAAATACCATGTTTAGAAAAATAATCCGTCTTAAAACAATTAAATCAAAATTACATCAAGTTTCCACGAAAGGGTTGACCATGAAATCGATGCGATACGGATTGCCAACAGATAATAATAATAACAACCGGGATGAATATAATAAATGACATTTTAATGTGATTAAGGATACATATTAATAATCATTAAATACATCTTATTAAATTCTTTAAATTATCATAAAAAATAAGCATTGAATACTTTTTATGATTTGAAGACTATATTTTTATTTTTAATAAAAACGTTATATTTTAAAATTCTTAACATTGACTCTAGGACACACATTAGAAAAATCGTATTATTTTTTATATATAAATACTAAAAAGGACAGATAAAGTGTCATGGTGAAAATTGTAATAGCAAGCACTTTATTGCATCAACCATTTACAAGAGAATATTACATAAATTCTCTCTAGGCTTCACCTTCCTTGTTATCATATTTTTACATGATAGATAAAGTGACAGACATTGTACTAAAAAAAAAAGAAAGTGATGAACAGATATTTCATAAATACATGAAGAAAAAAAATGTCATATGATGCTTTTAATGATTAAGGGTCAGAAACCTGAACGACCAACCCATCTAAAAAGCCACGTGCTGCTGTCAACCCTTATTAAAGGAGAAGGCAAGTTTTTGGCTGCTGCTTGAGCTGTTGCTTAGTTTGCTGCTGGGACCAATATGCATGAGCAGTTAAGACCCTGTCCAAAAGTTCTTGAGGAACAGGCTCTCCCCTCCTTTGCTGAGGGGATATTCTCGCCGTGTGCACCAGTGTTTTCCATTTATCCTGCACTATTCCATACCTATATCACATGCCAATACTTTTTTATATGCTGTCCTTGCTAAATAAGGGAACCAAAATCATACTAAAGAAAGTGACCTTGTTCTTTTCTTTTTGGATCCCACCACTATCTTACCTTGTTTGTTTGCAAAAAGAGATGAAGTATAATAATCATTATTTTCATGTATCAATTCTAGTGTGGTAAACAATAAATTAAGTAGCTAGAAAAAGCATTAGGCAATGACATGCACATGCACAGGAGAAGTCGTGTCGGGTTTATATTGGAAGGAGCACTTGAGGTACCAACCAAAGCATGAGATCAGTAATGAAGCAATAAATTGTTTACCTAGTTTACAAGATATTACTTGCCTTCATACAACGACTAAATTGTTTTTAAATAAGGACACATGATAACAAATCATTAAATACTATTATTTTAGAAATTATAGAATTTAATATTATCAATACATTGAATCTAGTAACATCTTATAATTTCTAATAAAAACTTACTATGTATAAGTTCTTATTATGTGTTTTAAAACACACATTAGAAAAATTGTTAAAAGTTCCCGGATGCTGAAGAAGAATGTGTGCCACCCAAGAAGCTTTAAGTGTGACAACCATGTTTGCTTCAACAATCCATTTGAGTAAGAGTACAATCCAATAACAAAAATGTTACTATGCAGTAAGAACGTAGCTATGTATAAGGGCCACAAAAGATTTTACCTTCAAATCCACATATGTACGATGCTTTGCATTATCAAAAGCTTGAAGTTTAACATCACGCCACCTGATACCCACCCCAAAAAGAAATTAATAAGGGGCAAATGCACATTGGAAAGCCAGAAGCTAAAGACAACTTTCTATTACACATACTCTGAGCCATGCACACAACTGACTAAATAATACTAATCGTCATCATTAAGTTGGATCAAACAATGGCTGATGTAAATCTTACCTTCCAGTTCCCAGTTTCTCAACTGCTTGAACCAGTGCTTCCACCTCAGCAACAGAAAAAGGTCTACGAATTCGGCGCTGTGCAATCTCATTTCGTTTTGACTTTTGGTGCACAGGTAGCACAGCTAGTGCCTCCACACGCATCTCAGGAATAGTAATAAGTTCTTTGGAATCTGTCACTTTTTTTTCAACCAAATTGTTGATGGGAGAAGGTGCTGAATCATGATCACTTTCAACAAGGTTACCTAAACTGGTTACTTGATGCTCACCCGACATGTCCAAAAAGCCTTGACTCTTCTGATGAATTACAGCTGGACTGGAAAGATACCTAAATATCAACAATCTTTTTTTAGATAAAAACCGGGATGATAATTTAAAAAAAAAACAGATTGAAAGAAATTTAATGCAGTATATGAAGATGAGTTATGTTAGCAGCAAATATTGTAGAACTCCCATAGTTCATAAAAAGTGAGGTGGGACCCTCAATTTTGATGAAGAAACGAGAGAGAGGAAAGTTGTCGATTGATTTCATGAGTTACGTAAGGGAAATATTATTTGCAAGTAACATTTCCATGAAAAGATCTCCAAGGAAAAATGATATGTCATAAAAAAATGCAGAGGCAGTGGAGCCAAAGCATTGATGCAAGTAATGCATTAATGCAGTCAATGGAAAGTTATGCATTACCCAATTAAAGGCTGAGGCAAATCTGCACTATGAGCATGGAGAGAATCTGTAGCACATGCAGGTGGTAGGTTTTGTGAAGAATTAGGCTCCAAGGTGAAGCCCAAAGCATCCAGTTGGTTATCAGGAGAAATTCCAGTCTGAAGTAGAGTTTTAGTGTCATCTCTAACCTTCTTTCCATGGAAAATCATGCCAACACGCAATCCACCTCCAAGTACAGATGTCACTGCCTCCATCACTGTTTTCTGCAGAGCAATTTGTTGTAAGAGCTGCAGCCCAACTTATGTGAAAGTTGCAATAATGATAATGCCACATGATGAAACAGCATTTCAAGAATACACATACAGAAACAGATGCCATTCATCTTTAACATCTAAATACAGGAGACAATGATAACATATATGGCAGAACAGAATTTTATTATACCTTCAAGAATCCAATGGTTGCAGTTTCTGGAATCTCAATAAAAAGCTCCGGCACTCTAAATGATTTGATCCTAAGCTTCACTGATTAAAATAAAGACATCTTCATGTAAGAAACCCTTTGAAGACATCAGTCAAGTCAAAGAGTACATAAAGAATCACTCCCTCAATCTTCCCATACCATGAGAATCTCTAGATCGTAATGCAGAGTGTTGATGTGCTTCCAAGGATGACATTCCAGGACCTACATCAAAGATTTTTAATTATTTAGAAATAGGTTCCTGAGATCAATAAATCAATATAAAGTCATTTAGAGTAAAACCTTTGCACATCCCAGAAGATGAACATGAAACACCTTGATTCATGTCATTCTCAGGTGAATAATAAGTGCCACCACTTCTGAAATATCCGTTAGAATTTGTAACAGAGCTACAGTTAAAAAGCTTCCTCTTTTTGAAAGGAATATTCATTTGAGATCTTTGGCGCTTATAATAGTTCTTCCTACTGCTGTAAACTGGCTTCAAATTTCCATCCAAAACTAGCATGTTTAATTTGAAAGCAGATTAATTAACAAGCAAAGAAGCATGATGGATGAAGAAACAAGAAAGGCAATAATTTCATATGGTAAGCATGAACTCACCGTCGTTAGATAGGGTATCATGCTTTGATTCTCGAGCTACTTTACAATATTTAGAAGCCAATCTTTTTTTGATTTTTCTATCACCTATACAAGTAATTGGCCTAAGGGGCTTTATTTTGGTACTGGGGTGAACACACCCAGAAAAGTTTTCGTCATCATCTCTACTAACTACTAGTACACTGTCACAACCTTTGGACAATGAGCTACAAGGTATGCCGTCATCATACCCAGACAACTTGGCATTGCCACCCAAGCTGATCAATGCTGGAGGTTTTTCATTTAAGGGATCCTCAAAACAGCACATCCCAGTCTCATTATCAATGGGAACCTTCTCAAACTTATGCAACTCATCCTTTACTTTACTTACATCACTATCTAACTTGCAACCACTATTCTCTGGACACCCAAAGGAACCTAATTCAACTTTGCCAGCAAAATTTTCCATTCCATTTTGGCTTTTTCCATCCACCAGTGTCTCAGCAACAAACCTCTCTGAGCAACTAGAACTTGTTACTATAGAAGCAATGCATGAATGACCATCAATTTCACAACGCGGAAGTTCCTTCACAGAACAATTTTGATCGTATGCTTGTGAAGAAAGATTAGAGAAACATTTTCTGTCACTACTTCCTTCATCAGAAAGCTCAGCTCTTGATGGTTTATTTGCATCCTGGCACTCCTCTTTAACAAATCCATGTCTATCCTTTTCCGATGATCTATCACTGGATGCTGATGGATTCTGTTTTTCTTGCAATAAATTGCCAGCTATGGTGGCCAATAAGTCAAATGCACACATTTGATTGTCTTCCAACCTTCTTTGAAATGTAGCCCTCCCCTAGAAAATATTTATTAAAAAAAAATAAAAATACATTGATTGCTTTCATACTCTCTTAAGTATATAGATAATAGTAATCAGCCCCAGATGAGAAATAGATCTTATTTACCCTAGCTGATCGTGGAGTTCGGGGCTTGGTTGGCACCTCATTGCCATTAAAGCTATAGTCTAGCCTCTTCTGCACCACCATATCTCAGGAACCATGCCAATATTAGGATTTATCAAACGCAGAACATTAGAAATCCAATATCCATTGTCAAATAAACTTGAACTTTGGGGGTTGCTTGACCCCACCGGTCCTAATTGGAAAGCCTGACAGTAAACAATTCCAACTGATACATTAAGGAAACTAATTCAGTCACTTCCACCGGATCAAAGCACCTTAACGATAAAGGCCATTGATTAAATATATGTGCATGCATTTGTAATCATTTTACCAACTAAGAAAAAAAAAAGTGCCAAATACCAAAACAATAAAACCTTTGCACAGAGAAGTAAACAATGAAAACAGATTCAAATGAAGACACAATAATTAAGCTGGGAGTAAGAAATAATTTGCAGAAATAAACCCTATACAGCAACAGTTTCTGAGAAGTACAAAGGTGAAATTAAAAAAGAAAAAAAAATAGGACGGAAAAGTTAAACAATAACACAAGAAAGGGATTCCAAAACTCGGCTAGATTCCAAACACGTTCACGAGAGCAGAACTAAACTAAATTCAAACCAAAAGAGATCTAAAACCAAGGAAGAAGATCGATCTCAGAAAACCACCAATTCACCAACCAAAAGCAAAGCACAAGCAAATCAGAGATCAAATCATCAAAAGCTTGATTTGATGAAAATGAAGGACCAAACAAACTGAGGACGTTCTAAACGGAGAAACTGAAAGTGAAACACGAAACCGAAACAACTAATAAATTGTGAAACATCAGAGGAAAATTTGGTCGCAGGAAGCTGAAAATTCAGGTATCAGGACCAAAAACAGTACCCACATAAAGTTATGCGTCAAAATTCCAACTTCTTCCTGAACCAACCAACGTCATCTCAAACCCCAAGGATAAACCCAAAAGTTCAAAAAAACTTTCCGTACTTCAGAGAAACAAAACCCATCAAAAGTTCAACACGATCACCTCTTGTCTGTGCAAAGATCAAAGCTTTTACTCCCGAAGATATGAAATTTCGGCAAATTTTGTGAACTTTGAATTGAATGTGAGATTTGGGGGGGGGGGGGGAATTGTGAGAGAGAATTCAAAGTGAAACAGAAAATTATTTAACCCCAGAAAAAAAGGTGTGTCATTTTTGGAGGGTACCCATTTGGAAATTTGAATTTGTGAGGTTTTCTCACTCTCATTCTGAATCAGTTTATGATGCTGTGAATCGCTAAAAGCAAAACCCTGTGAAAACCACCAAAGCTATGGCTTAAACCCCAAGAGTTTATAGCATGTCATTGACCCTGACCGTGTGTCAGTGCCACCGGAGCTATCGGTGATTGCAGAGAAGGCCACCGGATATAGTAGGTGCATGGTAAAGGCACCAAAAGACCGGTTCCACGCACTTCGGTGAGCCACTGCGCCAACAGATCCCGACACGTGGCTCCCTTTTGGATCCTGTGGTTGCTTCTGGTCCGCACGATCGTGAAAGACGCTCGCTCACTCACATTTTCATCTTTTACTCCCGCCATATTTAATTACTCTCAACTCTAATTCGTTATTAGGATTAACTCCATCTCAACTAAATTTATCCATTTTTCTATTAAATATTTTAAAATTTTAATTACTATAAAAAATACGTATTCTTTTTTATGATTTTAAATAATAAATATTTCTTAATTATTTTTTTACTTTTTAATATGTACCTTTAAATCCATGTTAAAAATTATGTTTATTTATAAAGTGAGTTATCTATCCTTAATTTTTTAATATATTAATATCGTTGTACATTCAAAGTTAAAATAATTAATTTTATTTTTATAATTATAAATAAACTCACTTAAAATTCATTTTATTTCTGCCAATTGAATCAGTAAAAATGTTAATTATATAATGTATTGAATGATAAATTAATATAAAATTAAAAAAGGTAAAAATTAAACAAAATTAAGAGTTTCATGAGATATTTTTTAATAGTTAAAAATTTTAACTCGAAAATGTTATATCTTTATGTCTCATATTGATATTTTAACAAATATTTTCATGAAACTAATATTCTTGAAATGTTTCTTTACTTTTCTTTATGTTTAACTTTTGTTGGTTCAAAAATGTTTCTGGTATTTGATGTGGGTAAAAATTTAGAATGAAAATGACTAACACTAACGAAGATAAAAGTATTAGATTTAGTCAATAATGATACTTTTATAATAGTTACTAAAATTTTAAAACAGATAATAAAACAGGATTTGTGACTGAACACAAACAGATTTTTGCAAACAACTGTGAATATTGTCAACGGATGATAAAAAAAATTGGATGACGTTGAGACAGTGAAGTACAAACTACAAAGTAAGAAGAAACTTTAGTTAAAATCATTGTCATTTAATATGCTTCCGTTTATTTATGAAAGAGAGTAAAAATATGATTTCACCTATATTATAATTATAATTAGATATCAATATTAAATTAATAATTTTCTAATTACACGTGACTCGTGAGTAATATAATTTTACACATTATTATTATTACTATTTAAGAAAAAGAGTAAATAAAAACCTGAAAGAACTTAAAAAACAATATTTATGAACATTTAATCTAAAATAAAACTCTATTGTTATTATGTAAATACTAACTAGTGTAGCTTGATTATTGATCAGTGTAAGGATACAAATTTTATCAATAATAACAAAATATTTTACTCTCAACAAAGAAAAATGATAAAAATATTATACTCACATATACAATGTTATTACTAACATTGGTGTTAAAATATACGTTATTTTGAAAGTAATTTGTTGCACAAATTTTTAAAAATATAATAATATTTCTATTCATTATTATATATTGTTATATTAGCATGCGTGTATTACAATTTATAATAATAATAATAATAATAATAATAATAATAATAATCTAGATATATTTACAATAAACCATGGATAAATACATAGTGAAGGGGGATGATATATGCATATTTTTCTTTAAAAATTTGTACGTAAATGTTATTATTTTAGATATAAAATTTACTTTCATAAAAAAAAACAGAGTATTTGACCCTGAAAAACGACAGGTAATATATTGGCCCAAATAATTAGCCGCCATATTAAGTCTACAAGGGGACATGCCCACGTTTGAAACAGGTCATCCATGAAATCAAATAATGTTCCCAGAGAATTACCTTGTTATATGAACAATCTACAACAGTTATCTTATTTGAATAACTCTAAATTAATAATTGATCTGAGATTTTTCACTTTTTTTATTCATCTGGGAAGAACTTGAATAGAGATTACTTGCGTATAAGTCATTTCAGATCTGTTTAGTAAAATAATAATTATATATTCATTCAGTTAACGAATTTATGCTCTTAAAATATAAGGTCAATAGGTCGCATGGGAGGAAAGAATATTGTATTAAATAAATAAACTTGGTCAAGGCTCGTCATCTATCGTAATTAAATTAATCCATATATTGAGTTCAATATATATATTTTTTCCTAAGACATTCAATGATTGATAAAGATAAACAAAAGTTGGAGGTACATTGTTTCCCCCAAAGGAAAAGGAAAAGAAGTTATAATAAAATATGCTGATGATGATTTAAAAAAAATTATAAAAATGAATTTTTTTAAAATTATTATTGACAATTTTTATTTTTAAAATATTTTATTAATTTTCCAAAAATCATTAATAATAATTTATTTTAATTTTTAATAACTTTTTAGTGTTTTATTACCGGTAATTTTTAAATTTTAAATTTTTATAATTTTTTAAAAAACACTGTATTTCGGTATATATAATTTTTAAATTTCACGTGTAAAAAAATATTCCAACGACATCGTACGTGAAACTTGAAAAATACTAAGATAAAGAACAGCAGAAGAAAGTAAAAGGATTCATAAGACAGGAAAAATGAACTGCTGACTGAATGTACACAAGCCAATCACGAGCTAAAAAACAAATTTCTTCCACATTGATGTAAAAGAAGTTACATGAACTAATTGCAGCATCCAAAAACAAAAACAAATTGAAACTAGTCTTCTGTGGTCAAATTACCATATTGCCATGGATTGAATTCAATTTCTTTATTATCAACATGATCAGTGCTGCTTGAGTTATCTATAGCAGCCCGATGCTCAGTGTATTTACCATTGTATTGGTAGATCTCCAAATCACCCCAAGGAGTTGATGTCACTTCTTCAGTTAAATCAAACCATCTTGGCGTGAAGATATGCCCTTTGGCCTCTCGAGTTCTCTTTTCAGCACGCTGCCTCTCCTCCAAACTGTAAGGTAAACAAACACAATCAACAACATTTAAAAGCAACATATTTCTCTTCCATCTTGTTGATTGGCTAGAAACCCAATTCCCTTCCTCGTAAAAGGAGTAATTTCATCCAGCTGACCCGAATTGTGATAATAAATACCGTGAATAATTATAGAAGACAACCTTAAGCGCGCAAACTGTTACTCTCTTGCTCTTAGAATGCACTACCTACCATATTTTCAAGTGGAATGTGAATGAAAGAAAAGGTAAGCAACCTGGTCTTTTCTGCCCCAGATTTGGATAGATCGCCCATCTCAAGTGCATATCTATCTGGGCGTAAGCGAGAGTCTGACGCCAACAATTTTTTAGGGGCTGTGTCGAAGCTGTTTATTTTATGTGCAAAATATGTATACTGGAATTTATCATTCTGTGGAACATCAGCAACATGCCAAACCTGCAAAATAAAATTAGAGGAAATACCAATAACAATTATAAGTAACTTTGTCAGTGCCTTCACCAATTGATGTATTTAGAAGTATAAAAGTAAAAGTAGTTACATTTTAAAGTAGTACTAGTATGCTAGATTCTTGATAGCAACATTTAAATGAAAGGATTCCAAAGGTGTGTATTAACTGATTTGCAAATAATTTATCAAAGACACATAATGCATCACAGCAAATCATCAAAATAAACTTGAATATATCAGTTTTATTCGATCGTATCATGAAGTTTTTCAATGACTGAACTTTAAGTATAGTTTCTTAGGTGCTTTTGCTGGTGTTATAAACAAAATTACATCCCAGAAACGGATAATTGCTCGCATACATTTCGTAGGTTCTTAAAAATGATAATCACCTCTTTCAATTCTGTGTCTGGAAGAGGCTCTCCTTCCAAATCACAAGGTTGATAACTCATAGACTCATTCCACTTCCCCGTCATCAATATTTTAGGCTCCTCCGCAGAATTATAAACATATCCATCTACTTCATAGCGACCAGCGCTGTAAGATATCAGGAAACAGACAAAAGCTAACTAAAGAAGCTAATATCTGAAGGAAGATAAATGGAAAAAAAATAGAAATCACAAATGATGGGGATTTAATTATCTTTTAAAAAACTTAATTTTAACAAGTACAAAATAAGTAATTTACTGGTACTGGACAACCAAATCAAAAGAGTCAGGTGATGCAGGAAAATCCAATGCCATGACACTCTTAAGACTAATTTTAATTTCATTATATGTTATACATTGATGTCAATTGTAAATCCAATATAATACTAATACAAACCAATAAAAAATCTTCTAATTGAAAAACATTACATGAAAATGGTGTTACATACCCAAACCATCCACATGGTTGAAAGTATAGTACAACTTTATCCCCAGTCGTCAAATTTGTCATTATCATCTCCCCAGGTGAATCAATCCATGTTCGGCCAAATATCAGATTATTAACCTTGGTTGGAGGAGGAACTAAATCTAAGATTACACCATCCCTCTTGAGGGTTACACGCGTTCTGCAAAACAAAGATCCACAAAGCCAAAGCTTATAATTAGTTAATTACTTTCTAGCTAGCAAATGTTGGAAACATATTGATGTGGCATGGTGATTAGATTATAATTATCAATTGGTGTTCTATCAGATTCTTTATAAAACTTATAGTGGCAAACTTCTTAGGAAGCGTGGTGATTAGATTAGAGCAAACATCCCAAATATGGCTCAAATACATTATATGTCTCTACCTAGCTAAAAAATACTCATGACCCTATCTTTTCAACCTGGAATAAATTACTCCAAGCACATGGATGATAAGCAAACATTCAATTATAATATGGCATGTGGATAATGCAAGAGGAAGTTGGAAGAGGCAATGAGTGAGAATAAGAACAGAGTAGGATAATAAGCCAATCTACTAAACAAATGCAATGTATCGATCACCTTCCAACAGGGTAAACATCAACAGAATTTCCCAAAAACTTAGTCTTTAACTTTGAAGTCACATCATATGCAAAATGCTCATTCTCAGCATGCCCAGCACTCATTGGGGGATGGTGACTCACCTGAAATTAGAATATATCTATAAGATATCCAATCGGAACTAGATAACAGAGAAAAAAAGTAAACAAAAATTTCATAAATGACATGTTCAGCTAACAATGCAAAAGGAAGTAAGTGAGAAGAAGATAGCAGTTCATCCAAATGCATGCACAAAATATAAAGGAAACATGGTATAAAAAGTGTGGAAGAGAGAGAGAATTCTCATGAGAATCACATACATAAAAGGTACCTGTTCTGCTAAAAATGTGATTCCACCATGGTTAACCATCTCATAGGTCTCTCCAAGGATAGGGTTAAAAGGCTTCCAGGTTCGTTGGTACGCAAAATACACAGATATAGCCCATGATGCTGTGATGATTATATAAGTTATAAAAATAATGAACTTATCAAAAAGTGTGTAGACAAGGCTTAACGATTTTATAATGTAAATAAAAGAGTAAGAATTAAGCTAACACAACAGGCCCCGGCTAAAAAAAAATTGGGGGCAAGCACATACATCATTTTCCATAAAAGAAAAATTCATGGACGTCCTTTATCACATGCCAAAACTTAGATAAAATACTATTCATTCTTATCTTTAACTGTGCCCTCCAGCACTAAAGTTAAGATAACAATTCAATTGAACAAACAATTAATGGAAGAGAAACAAGAAGGAAACAAACAACTCACATGCATACACCAGCCGCATATATGGGTCCTCACATTCATCTGCCAGTTCTAACAGGTAGGAGTACTCCATCAACTAGTTCAAGCAACTCAAAGTTCAATCAAGTGCCAAAAAAAAAAACAAAACAGATTAACAATAGGGGGAAAAAATTAAAGCTACGCAAACCTCTGCCATTTTCTGAAGCATAGTCATCGGTTCAAAAATAATAACCGGTAGTGTTACCATTGATGTTACATCTGAGCCAATATATTTTTGCATCATCTTCCAGTAACCATCTCTTTCCTGTATACAAGAACCAAAGAGAATAAACAACAATGTTATCACAGCAAAGTATGAATCAGGCGTGTGCTAAAGAAAAATAGGAAATAAAATAAAACCAAAAAATGGGAAAATAACATTTAACAAAATAAATAAATAAAAGAAGTACCTCCGGTTTCCATCTTCCTCTCTGAGCTTCCTCTTCTGCATCATCTTGACCGCCCTCTGGATTTATAACTTCTACCCCTTCATATCCCAGCATCCTAGAATCAAAGGAGAAATATGCACAAGCTCAAGTTCACACTTCCCCATAATCACTATATTTCTTAGAGATGAAAATGACTAGTTCACCGAAAAAGACATAAAATACGAAACTAAAACGGATGGTGGCATCATAAAATGATGTCAAAGGACCAGAAAGCTTGGGACAAAACTTCCATAATCTTTCTTTACTTCTTTAGAATGGTAGTGATTCATGAATTTCTACTTAGATAAACAAGCAGGCAGTTATCTTCACTAATTACCAGTAGTTCACATCCTTAGCTACTAAAACTTTAGTTACTAAAAACAAGAAGATTTGCAATGAAGGAACTAGAAAGTTAAACTGTTGAATATCACTTTGGAACACAGATCCTTGATGGAAAACTACCTGATAAATTTTGCCAGTACAACAATTCTATCATCAAGCCATTTCAATAATTTGAAATGATAATAGCATTATAATAACATGTTATTGCTATACCAAATAATTTATAATAATTAAAACACGACGCCTTTGCCTCAAAAGTATGCTTGTCTATGCATTTGAGATGTATGCAATCTACGGGAAAGCACACCAAACAGACACAAATAATAACACTTAGATAAATAATGGGGAAATATAAGTTCCTGCTTGTCTCGTAACATGAATGCAAGTAGAAGCACACAGGGAACTTCAAACCAAGCTCTAAGTAATAAAACTATAAAATCCAACAAATATTACATAATCATCTAGTATCAATGACACTTGAAACTATAAGATGAGAATGGCCGATACAATATACAATGACACAACACTTTGAAATATTACTATATAAAAATGAAAAAGTAAATGAATTGGAGAATCGAATAAATTTTGTTCATTTAACAAAAAATACCCGTTGACAGATCGATGCATGGCGTTGCTGAACATGGAGAAGCCAGAAGTCATGGCAGCGAAAAAGCCCTTATTTTCAATCTTATCGGGGCCAGCCATCTTTGAGTAACACACTAATTCAAAAGATCAGGGAGAATGAAAAGAAATGGACGCTGAAACACACCAAATTGCGAATTGTAGGAAAATGAAAAGAAAAATGGAAGCAGAAAAGGAAAGAGTGATCTGAGTATTGAAGGTAAAAAATTGAGAGAAAAGAGAAATTGGTTTCGATCGCAAAGGTGGTGAGGTGTGAGCGTTTGGTGCTGCAAATCCGAATGCAGTGTCCGTTAAACATAAAACACGCTACTTTTGTGGCGCGTGCGGTGCGGATAGCAACAAAAGGAAAATGAAGCATCCATCACCTTTTACGGCCACAATTATAGCAAAAGAAAATATGTTTTGACTCTCATCATTTTAAGAATGTTATGATCAAGTGCCGTTGAATTTACTGTACCCTTCCTTTTCATAATATACTCATCTGATTTTCAGTTTGCAAATCTTACAAGTTTTTTTTCCTTTTTTTTACCACAAATTCAACATGTCACAATTGTCTTTTTCTCTAGTGCCCTTGTTTATTCTTTTTATTTATAATTCGAGATTCAATGATCTCTTGAAATTTTGTGTCATTTCTAGCATGTCATGCGTAAATTTATACAGTACGTACACTACACACACACATATAAACTAATTATTTTATATAAAAATCAAAATGAAAAATATGATATATATGTCATACATAAAGATTAAGGTTTAAAAAATGTGTAAATTTTTTATGAGTGAAAATTTACATTTAAATTTTGTCAATCTTGTCAAACTTTTCTAACAATGTTGTAATAAGATATCGATAAAAGCAATCTAAAATAAATTCAAAAACATGTTTACAAAAATTTCTAACACTAGTTTCTTGTAAGGCCAGAAAGGTATTTAAACATTTATTATTATTATTATTATTTTGAGAGCTCATATAAGGCTTGGAGTTTCAACAGTTTATAAACTACGAGGGTTAGGCCAACAAAACGACACGTCGCTGGTTGCAATCAGTTTAGCTTCTCCATAAAACCTCGGTTAAACCCTCGAAGTTGCATAGTAGAGAGAGATGTTTGGAAGGGGAACTGTGAGGTCAGTGTTGAGGCGCGGCAAAGAAGCATGTGCCATTCACAAGCTCAGAGGGACAAAACCTTTCTATCATTCTTCCACTTCGCAATCCTTCAAGCTTTTAACCCCTCCCATCGCCACCCATTACTTCCATGCTTTCCGATCCCATCTTATTCCCAAGGTTACATCACTTTCTCCTTCCTTTTCATCATTTCCTCCTATTTTCTGATCAGGGTTCTGTTCAAATTTCATTTTTTTACCCTATAAATTTGAATACAGCTCAACTCTGAAAATTTGTGTTGATCCCTTACATAGTGTACAATTGTATATCACAGTTTTGTATGGGGTAATCCGTTCTTTTATTTATTATATTCACAATAATTTCTAAATGTTTAAATGTCTATGGCATTATGGGAAATTAGCTGCCATAGTTCATTTGTAATGGTAATCAATGATGCTGTGTTTGAATGTTTTGTTACTACGCGTAATTAGTTATGAGTTATGAGGAAATTGAGATGGTGCTTTTAGGGTCATCATGTGTCACACACGAGGAACTTTGCTAGGATGGTGTCTACCGGAGCTGAACATAAGGAGGGGTTGAAGCTGCTTGTGAGTGGGGGTTCTCATGCCAAAAAAGTTGTTGGAATATGGCTCTTCGGCTCTGCTGCATGGGTGTTTAGCATGGTGGTGCTTGGGGGTTTAACCAGACTCACGCGATCTGGTCTTTCAATGACTGATTGGAAATTCACGGGTACTCTCCCTCCTTTATCAGATGAGGAATGGTTGCAAGAGTTTGAGAAATATAAGCAGTCACCTGAATATAAGCGGTAATGAGAAAAAACTAGCTTCAGCTGATCATAATTCATTTAGTAATGTCACCTGAAATTCACACACCCTCCTAAATGCTTTTCTTGAAGATGGTTGACTAATTATTAAGGGATTAAATCAAATCAATAAGATTAGATGATTAAAAGATAAGGGATAATATAGTATTTCAAACAACCGTGTTCATTTTTATCATAAAATTAACATCATAACATTATTAAATAATAATTTAAACTTAATTACCTGCAAGAAGGTTATGAAGATAATTATTAATTTGACAATGATGGAAAATATTTTACTGAATTAGCCTGCTAAAACTGGGTGCCAGTGGACAAGCTTGATTTACCTTTAAAGTTCTAATTACAATTTAGAATTTTTGTTATTGATTGTGTATTTATTACAATAAAAAAAAGGATTAACCAAGTGGAAGTGAGTTGATAATTGACACTCGGTCTGAAAGAGCTTAGTAGTTCATATGAATTTTATGATGATAATTTGTTTCGTACTTGTTGCAGTGTTAACAGAGGGATGAAAATTGAAGAATTCAAATTCATATATTGGATGGAATATGCACATCGTATGTGGGGAAGGGCACTAGGAGTTATGTTTGCTTTGCCCTATTCATATTTTCTTCATAAAGGGTATATTACCTTGAGATTGGGACTGAGACTCTCTGCTCTGTTTGCCCTGGGTGCTGGCCAGGGTCTCATTGGCTGGTGGATGGTTAAAAGTGGTTTAGAGGTTGGAACATAAATAATGTACATTCTTCTGATTATTTGATGTTAAATTGGCCAGCATTGCCTGATTCTAATAACATTTTCCTACCTTAGGAACCACCATCTGAATATTCTCAGCCAAGGGTAAGCCCTTATCGCCTTGCAGCTCACCTTACATCAGCATTTGCTATTTACTGTGGCCTCTTTTGGACTGCGCTTTCTGTTGTTATGCCTGAACCACCTGCCGATTCGCTTACATGGGTTCGTGGAGCAGCTAAAGTGAGGAGACTTGCATTGCCTGTCGGCCTACTTGTTGGTCTTACTGCTGTCTCTGGTGCATTTGTCGCTGGAAATGATGCTGTATGTTTGCTGGTTAATAGTTTTGTGCCCCATATTTTAACTTGAAATGATAACTGAGCTTTGGCGAGGATAAAAGATAATCATTCTGCTACCATTTTAATTGCCAGGGACATGCATTTAATACCTTTCCAAAGATGGGTGATACGTGGATACCAGAAGACATTTTTGAAATGAAGCCTCTGATTCGAAATTTCTTTGAAAATCCATCAACTGTTCAGGTAATTATCCATGCTGATATCTCTGAAGTTAAAATAGTAATACCCTTGTTTCCTTGAGTTTTTTTATCGTTGGATTTTTGTTTGCTTTTTAAGAGTTGACAGATTTTTACTGAATGAAGTGTTTGGAAATACTTTATGCCTATAAATAAAGTTCTGATAAATGTTTTGCTTATAACAGTTTGATCACCGTATCCTTGCAACTGCAACGCTGTTTGCAGTAGGTGCTTTATGGTGGTCAACAAAAAAGCTGGACATACATCCTGCAGTAAGATCTGTGATTGGAGGTGCCGTTGGCATGGCTGCTCTTCAGGTAATAATTTCAATTTCCAGTTTTATGTTATGTATAATATTTATCATTTATCTGATTCATCACTAATTTATGACAAGAATAACAAATAGATAAAATCATAAAAGGAAAACTTTTTGGCATTTGATTTTGTCAGCAGTGTAGTATATGGTTTTCTAGCAGCCGTCATTAGGTTTTATTAGGTAAATTTCCTGTGAAAAATAGATATATTTTTGTATGTTACAGGTCACCTTGGGAATTTCAACGCTTCTTTCGTATGTACCTGTTTCATTGGGCACTGCACATCAAGCTGGAGCCTTAACTCTTTTGACGTTTATGATGCTTCTTAATCACACGGTTCGAAGGCCGTCTTTGTCCCTTCTCAAATCTCTTCCTCAAGTTGTCAAAGCACACTAGTTGTTTCCCAGTATTGCAACAAGAATTAGCCTTTTTAAGTTGAAATGAGCTGTGACTATTAATTTTTTCCATGACAAGTTTGGCATTGAGCTCCTTATCCAATTTCCATTGTTGGAATTGTCTTTATTTGGTTTGTACATTTGAAGCCTGAAAATTCATGACGACGTAACTGATCGGTTAATTATTATGTCTTCAATCATTTATGTAAGTATGCTGAAAATCGGCTCAGAAAATCATTATGTAAACTAAATACAACTTAAAGTGGAAGAATCCATGGCCTTCCATCTTTTGATAATGGCTTTTCCTTCACTTAAATATCCTTATTACAAATATCATTATTCTCAAATCTGGTTGGTAATAATTTGTTTCGCATATCTTCTGTGTATCCTCTTATTTGTATCCCCAATTAAAAACTGACACGTTAATAAGAGAAATATTTAATTTTTTAAATAGAAATATTATCTTTCTTTGTTGTTATTTTGTTTCTCCTGAATTATCTTATAATTGGAACGACAAAGAAAGAGCATAGAAGGGAAATAGGTAATTTAATTCCAGGGTTGCTATATTTCCGAACTTCGGCGACATTTTAAAAGATCTTGTTTGATTTGATGCCTGTTGTGCAAATTAAAATTAATTCCGTCCGAAAAGTGTTACAAGTTGGTTCTTGATTTCTGACAACTTTTCGGCCTAAGAATTGGAACTAAACAGAAATTGGTTTTTCTTCTGTTCCTTACTACCTACAATTCACAGTCGTGTGTAAGCTACACATTGGGAAGAAAGTCTAAAGCTCCCTCTGGCGTCTGGATCTGCGAACAAGGTAAATACGACCGTACACCCATTGTCTACCTAATCTTGAAACCGATTGCTGCAAAATGATAACATCATTTGTCAAAATACCTGTAGCTTTTGCTTTACACTATGTTGTCATGCTTTTATTCTCTTTACTCATAAAATGAGAACTAAATAGCAGTCTAATCTTATGAATTCCCTCATGCAAGAATTAAAACAATCTATGTTATTACCTTCTCAACTTTGGTGCGAAATTCCAATAAGCATTCACATACATGACAATCTGATCTATGTGGTGAGTTATTATTAGCCTTGTCTGTTCTCACAAATGCAAATACCTTCAAGAAAATGAATCCAATCAAGGGGAGTGCTTTACGTGAAGTTAAACATTAAATATGTGCTTCATTAGCTGAACAATTACAAATAGGACCACTTGGTCGAGGAATAAGATGAAAAAGAAACCAGAGACGTGGGAAAGTCTATGTATAAAATGTAGTGACTGACCTCTTCTCCACAATTTGGACATGAACCCTTTAGTGCCACCAAGTCATTCCTCCACAGGCCTTGAAGCACCTTCACTGTGAGAATGAGCAGTTAATGACATACACATATACAGGTGGTCACATTGAAAAATGAATGATCAAATAGCTCTTCTTGAGTTACTGAAAAACTCTCCCATTAAGAATTTGATTTGATCAATTGAACTATATCAAAGGGTTTGTCGTTTACTTTTAACTACTGCTTGGAGATTAAATTTGAAAATTTAGACTTCAGATGAAAAATAGTAGCAAAAAGGAGATTTACCTGAAGCTGAAGCAACTGGGTACCCAATGAGCAAACCCAGCACCATGAAGATAATGCTATTCACCATAAAAAGAAGCCCTAGTCCTGATGCCCGGCTACCATATGATAATCCTGAATCGAATGCATTTTTATGGGAGTACAATATGGGCCCAACACATGCTGAACAGCCAAGTGCAAGAAATAGGGACCATGTGCATGCCAATGCTAAAGCCATGGACAGATCTTCCTGCCCTACATCCATATCACTCAATATTCAAATGAAGAAACCAAGATAAACATAAAAGGAAGTTATTAACATTCAATAGAAGTACATCATACACCAATAGAGGAAATAATTCCGCCAAAACTAATAACAGAAATTGGTGAATTTTAATGAATATGTGATCATATACAGCCAGAAAAAAAGAAGTTAATGTGAAGCGAAGAAAATTACCTCAGCATCAGAATATGTTGATTGCCTCCTGATACTGCATCGAGGATACTTGACGACTGACTTAGAACCATACCACTTAAGCTTCAACTGTTTGAACAAATTAAGTTTACACAAGTAAGGGCGCGTTTGAGAATAGTGCTTAATTAAACGCTTATTCAATAAATTTTTCTTAAACGATAGATTATATCGTGGATTTAATAATAAAAATTATTGAAAAAAGTTGTGATAAGTTTTTCCAACCATGTCCTAAGAGGCATACTGGTGATGTGAATGTTAAGCAGAGAAAGATATTAGATACCTCTACTCTATCGAACATGTCATCAACTATCAAAGGCTCTCCACTGTAATATGCATCCCGTGCCTATATGAAAAAAATAATTAATTAAAAATTAATAATCCAACTTCATTAGTCCTTGCATGGCTATTGCCTACGTAATGTTAATCTTTTTTTTATAACTTAGTAGAAGACAGATTAAAGGAATAATAGTGAGTATTAGTGAAAAGGGTGTTGATAAGTGTGGAGAAAGGAGATTACTTGAGAGTAAAGAGCTTCAAGGGTCTCTTTGCTGGCGGAGTGGAGGGGGCCAACGTATATGCAGGAAGGTCCACGGGGACGGTCGTCGCAGGTGGCGGAGGCTCGAACGGAGAAGAAAGAGAGGGGGCGGTTGCTTCTGATTCTGGACAACTGAACCACGTTCATTCTCAAAGCCATCACATTCCCTCGTGATTGTTTCTGATACGTTTCAGAATTGCAAAACAGTAAGAAAATAAAACAAATCCCGACCACATATTTAGACACCAATTGTCGAAATTGCCCCTCTGTATTTTTGGCGGCTAAAGTCTTGTTTGGCTACTTACGTTTCTCATTGCATTTAGTCTTTTTCATAAGAAATTCAGATAATTGATATAAAAAACAAATGCGTTTGCCGGGAGTCGAACCCGGGTCTATTGCTTGGAAGGCAATTATCCTAACAGTTGGACTACAAACGCAATTTTGGAAGGGCTTTCAATTATTTTTTATTTATAATTATATTGGCTATAGTTTGTGGACCACAGTCAATAAATACCCTTGCAATGATTGCTTATGATACCTATTAATTATCCTCAATTCTCATCCATCCAATTCAAGTATGCGTGCGAATTGCAAATACATGAAATAATCCATCACCGGTATAAAATAGTTAACATAAACAAAATAGAGTTGTATATAAATTGAATTATTTGTTAAATATTATAATTTAATTCTCTAAATGTTAAATTAAAACTCAGTCAAAAAATACCAGCAAGAAAAACAAAAAAAGTTACAGCCTTTTTCTCTCTATTCTAAGGACGTTTGTTCATGATCCTGCTGCTGTCACGAAGGCAGTGTCCCGATTATGTCGATAGTCTGAAAATAAAGAAACAAGAACGAAGAGGAAGAAAAGAATGAGAAAGTTGTTTTTGGCAATCAAGGGAAAACTGGGAATGAACGCAGCAGGTATTGCTTCGAAGACAATGCAGGAATTGCGTTGCTTTAGGATGCTGAAGTAAAGACAGGGAGAATGCTATCCATTGAAGTCCCTTCTCCGTAACTCGTAAAATTGTGTTCCTTCAAGCATGCGTTTGCCATATACGATAAAATGAAAGAATAATAATATAAGCCCTTACAGATTATCCGTTTTTAAATACTCTCGTAATAGAAAATATACAATATATATATATATATATATATATATATATATATATGAGTTAACGATTGTATATATATATATATATGTAAAAGAATAGACAATGTATTTTTCATTCATAAATAATTCGTATTATTACATGTTAATTAATTTGAGGGAAACTCAAAATATAGTTTAGTCAAATACAGTATTCAGACAATTTTTCTCTTTTAAAATTCACAAATATTTGACCAGAGACTGTTGTCGTCAAAAGTTACCAATAAAATAATGGAAATAATACATCACACTAATTACATAACGACAAAAATACATCCGCAGCGGGCATCTCGTGCAAGAATTTATATACAAAAAAATGTTTTTTATTTACATATTTTCAGTAGTATTCCTAAAATAAAATTATTAAAAAATATATCATTTTAGATGTACAAAAAAAATCATCTTAAAATAATCATGATCCTAAACTTAAAGCAATGTACTATCCAGATTTTTATAATAATATTGACACACTGTCTCAATTACACAATATATTGCATTTAAGTTGATTACTCTTAAATCTTGTCCTTCTTATATTATAAAACAATCTTTCAATTTCATTTTCATCCAAAACATAAACTATATTACATAACAATAAGCTCGATAGGAATTATTTATAACTTTATGTTTTCCTTTGGCAGGAACAAAAGCACAGTACAGCTGGTAGAAGAAGATAGCGTATGGAAATTGGAAATGTGAAGCGGGTTCGTATAATGCAATGGGAACACAGTACGTACGCATTCAATTAAAACTGTACCCATAAGTTATAACATTTTTTTCATATGACAGGTATCCTTCACCGAAAATATTTTTTAGTCAAATAAAATTATTATAGATAATAAAAAATTTCTTCCGAAGTAGAAAGCTTATAACTTTAATAACTTATATCTATCTGATAAATAAATAAATATATATATATATATATATATTTATTTTTGAAAAAAGAGAGAGAAACAGAGAAAGAAGAGATTGGTAGCAACTGAATGTCTGAAAACATTGGCATGGTAATGGTAAATGGAAAATGGTAATTGGTAGATGTCATTGATTTGGTGAACAATTACTCTCCCGACAGTACCCAACAGACAAGAGTTACGAGATTGCCAAAACTAAAACAACCAAGGCAACGCCAACAACCTCATTCCTAACTTCGTTTAGTTTTGTTAGATTCTCGTAACTCCGAAACTCCCTATCAACCCATTCCCAAATTTATTTTCATTGGTGGGTGCAAATTATTATTATTAATTACAGCAATGCGATAGAAAGTTGAAATCTTTGTGAAAGGGAAGATCATGGGGACCGACCCATCTTCTGGCACTGTGGAGGTTCAGGTTCATCCACGCCGTGAAAGCACCACCGTTCATCCGGGACGGGGTGCTCCGCCCGCTCCTCCGCCGCGGGATCGTGACTTCAGCCTCTTCAAGCGGTGGTTCCCATGGCTGGTGCCGTTGTTTGTGGTGGCCAATATTGTTGTATTCATCATCACAATGTATGTGAATGATTGTCCCAAACATTCTCTGCCTCATTCCTGTGTTGTTTCCTTTCTGGGGAGATTCTCCTTTCAGCCCCTCAAAGAGAACCCCCTCTTTGGCCCTTCTTCCTCCACGTTAGTTCTTCTTCTCTCTTCAGTTAAAATCAATTTTTTATTAGCTTAAGGTTATATGTTAATCATATGTTATACATGTTATATTTATATCACGTATGGTTTTTGGTAGGCTTTTTCTTCTTCTCTGAAATTTCAGAAATATATGTAATTGGCTGGCTTTCATCTTAAGTTCAACTCAAATTACATTATTACGATACCTAATGGATAGTAATTAGTGCCAATTTTACTAACATTTAGATAGGTATTGCTGTTTTGATTGTGCTATTAACATTTTTTTCTTTTACTTTTTTCTTTAGATTAGAGAAGATGGGGGCTCTAGAAGTGGATAAAGTGGTTCATAGGCACCAGGTTTGGCGGCTTTTCTCTTGTATATGGTTGCACGGTGGGGTTATCCATGTGCTTGCCAACATGTTCAGTCTTGTTTTTATTGGAATTCGGCTTGAGCAAGAATTTGGATTTGGTATGGTTCTGGTAATTATCCTTGCATTAGTCGAGTATATCATTTCCCTTTTAATGATAGAATTTTCACCTTATTATGGATTTGTGAGCGAAATATTGTGAAAGAAACTTAATTGAGTGTTACCACTACAGGAATGAAAACATTTTTTACCTTCTCGGTTTCAGACTGTAATTTCTATCTTGCTTGTCCTTTTGTAGTTAGAATTGGATTTCTATATGTGATATCTGGTTTTGGAGGGAGTTTGCTGTCTGCTCTATTCATACAAGAAGGTATCTCTGTTGGTGCTTCTGGTGCATTGTTTGGCTTACTAGGAGGCATGTTATCGGAGCTCTTAATAAATTGGACAATATATGCCAATAAGGTGAATGAATCAACAAAAGTGTTAAATTCTACAGTGCTTCCTATTAAATAGTCTGCTCCATCTTTGTGTACAAACATTTTATTTCTTTTTCAATTTTTTTATTGTTTTTCAGTTCGCCGCATTGTTGACTCTTGTAGTCATCATTGTAATCAATTTAGCAGTTGGAATCCTTCCACATGTAGACAATTTTGCTCATATTGGAGGATTTGTCTCTGGCTTTCTTCTTGGATTTGTCTTTCTGATTCGCCCCCAATTCAAATGGGTTAGCCAAAGGAATTCTCATTATAGACATGGCGCACGTCGGGTGAAATATAAACACAAACCTTATCAATATGTACTGTGGTTCATATCTTTCATTGTGCTGACTGCCGGGTAAGTTCTCTTTCATTTATCTTCTTCGTTTCTGTTTTGAATATTACCCTCTCCACAGGATTAGAACTTTGAAACTTGTTTCCTGAACACTGTTTGGTTTAATATTAAAGAAATTTGCTAGGAAAGGGTTGGTGTTGTTGCTTCTACGTGAGTGTTTGTTCATCGACCTTACATAGGCTTTCTTAGTCAGACATGAAATGATTTATAAATATATGCTACAATGGTATATTGATTCATAAATCGAAGCATTTTTTATGAGTGTTATTTATTTGTATATCCTTCCTTCATCATTGAATGTCATATTTCTTATATTTTTCTTCTACAGAAAAATTTATAAATCCATGCTACAATGGTATATTGATTCAATATTATGCCTGTGGAGTACTGTTTATGTTATCGCCTTTGAGATTTTATCTCTGTTGAGTGCTTTGCAGTGTACATTTATACATTAGGCTCCCAAATATGAAAGTTTGATATTTTGACAGGTTGATTACTGGGCTGGTTTTGCTACTTCGAAGTGTTAACTTGAATGATCGTTGCTCGTGGTGTCATTACTTAAGTTGTGTCCCTACCTCAAAATGGAGCTGCAAAGCACAGCGAATTTATTGTGAGGTGAGTACCCATTTCTTGTGTACTTTCCATCCAAACAATCCTAGAGCTGTTAGCGAATGGAATTATATGATTTTGTTGCCAAATCTGCAGCAGACAAAAATCCTTACAATTTCAATCACTTTATTGTCATACAGCGACTTTTTTTTATCTAAGTTGGTTTTCATACTGATATTTTCTGTTTCAATGATGCAGACAAACCAAATTGGAAACCAACTTAACATAACTTGCTTGAGCAATGGGAGAAGTGACGTTTTTCCTCTTTCAAATACTAGCTCTTCCCAGGCTCAACAGCTATGTTCTCGACTTTGCAGTTGATAGATACACATGCAACATTTCTTGATTCGATGCCATTCAACAACTTGTGTATATATGATCTATTCTTGCTACTACAGAGGAAATCTTCTGGATTGCTAATAAGGGTGGCTGTGTCCTCCATTATATGAGTATATATTCTTGACACTGCTAGAGGAGAGGAAGGTGTATTTGATTAAAGAAGCAAAATAATTCTCAAATATTGTAAATCCTGTCTAATGGATTGATCCGAAGAAAAACAAAAATGTTTTAGATTTTCAGCTTTGGATCTTGTTACGGGTCAGTTATCTTTGTTAAACAACATCTAACCCAAAAGCTTCTATGTTTTCCTAGACATCAAATATCTTCTTGATAGCCTTAGATATGTGCTGTGTTATGGTATCTCTAATGATACACTTTAAATGCAATGGCATCGAGGCTTCATAACGGATTTCTGGCTATTCATTATTATTGGGCTCAAGTGACGGCTTGTGCAAGTCTTTGTTTGAAAATTAACTTTAGGAGATAAAATGGAAAAAAAATTATTTGATGTTAATATTTATTGAGAGTTTTAAATGTAGAGAAGAATTTTTATAAAATTTATAATTTTTTTATAAATTTATGTTTTTAAGTTCTCTTAAAATTAAATGTTTTCTTTTTTCTTTTTTCTTTTTTTCCTTCTCATTGTTTACTTTTCAAACTCTTTTTAACTCTCAAACTAAACTTAAGGAGCTAGAAATATATGAATCTATTTAGTGAATTGCTTACAAACTCTAGGGTACTTGTATGAATGTTGAATAATAACTAGATATAATTTATAAAGCTTTTTAGGAATCATATTCCTAAATTTCCCATTAAATGCAAAAGGGAATGCCCCTTGAACTTAGGGGTAAAATACATCCAATTAGGACAAACAGTCAAACACCTTGTAAGAAATTCGTCGATGAGCAAAATCTCGTCAAAGATTGAAGTTCGTCATTATGCCACATTCTTTCCTAAATCTCGATTGTTAAGACTTATTTTACTCTTACTTTCTGACACGTTCAGATTCAATTCGGTCTCCTTTAAAATATAACGAACAGAATGAATCGTAATAAAATGCATTTCATTCCATTCCATCTAATCTAATAATTTTCTTTTATTCTCCTTTAACTCAGGGTATGGACCAGTTATTTTTTTTTTCGTTCTATCGAAGACATGAGAAAAATGAATGATAATTCTATATCTCTTCATTTTGTATTTTTGTTTCATCCCATTTCATTGCACATTGATAAAATGTCTAAACATAACCTTAAAAATAGAGAGATGAGTGACCATCAAGCCGACCCATGCTTGGCTCCACATGATCTCTATCAAGAGTCTTTATATTAACTCTATTGCGGTATTGCCAATTGGCTTAGCCAGGTTGCACAATTCCTACATGATGCCTTGAATAGATGAAGTGCTATGATTTTTTCAACGGCTTAACACTGATTAGTAGTTCAACACTCTTGTCATAATTGGTTACGGTTTGTAAGTGTATTTGATGTGCCACCTAATCTTTCACAGTTGGGTGAATTCATCAGTCCTGTCATGAAGATAGGAGCATTGATGCTTTATAGGGTAGATGGTTAAATGCTTCATGCCCTTATCACCTCAAATACTTACCCATGATTTTGCTTCAATTCAAGATTCTGTGGCCCCGCTTTAGCATTCTATAACAAGTTGATGGTGTGGTAGTTAGTACTTCATATGCTCAAGTATGGTAGTTAAGAATACGGAAAAGACTATAAAGAAGGTAGTTGCTTGCTCCATAATCTTTGGAACCCCAATAGGAGAAAAAGAAAAAAGGGAAAGACAATGTGACATGGTGCTTCTATGGCATTATAACATGAAGCTTTTACGATATATGATGTCAATTTGCTTGCTTAAGAGAAAACTCAGCTTTCTAGTAAAGTTAAAAATTGTCTATTGATTTGTGGGCATGCTGAATCCCCGGTTCATTGAAACAGCAAAATGGTCCAAAGTTAAATGAAGGGCAAGGCTTATAATGATTGTATCTGCATGCATGCATGCCATGCCCACTTCTGAACTTGTACTCTGCGACATCATCATAGTTCCTAACAATACATTTTCAAAATTTCTTGTTTAATTTTTCAACACAAATTCATTCTTGGCAAAGTTGACATGGGCATCACCGAGTGCTAGGCACGAATTGTCTCCTCCATGTAGGGAAATTATGTTAGAAGGGGCTGAGTTTGAATCACTGTGTTATTTATTCATGCAAATCAATTCATAATTATAATAGTTGGATGGGAATTGCCATATCACCAGCTCTTACATCATTAGCTGATCTTTTCTGTTACTCCCTTTTATTTACTTTTCGATTAAGATAGGTAAGAAAAATTTAAATAAATTATTAAATAGCCCGAGTGATAATAATAATTAAAATAAATAAATAAATAAAAATAAAGAACTGCTGTTTGGAACGAATTATTTAGTACGAATTCCAAGGAGCAGATTAAAAAAAAAGAGTGATTATTAACACGGAGAACAATAACCATACACATAGGGGTGTGGTTTAAATTGAGTCAAATTAGTACATTTTTGTACCAAGATTTTGTACAATTTAGAGTTCATTAAAAAAATATATTTGACAATTATTTCTAACTTCTATAAAAATACTAAAACTAGTTACCATTACATTAATATTTTTCTTTCTTATTAACATGAAAAGTAAAATTAGAAAATATAATTTACCTAGTCAAATTTTTATACTACAAATAAAATTGAAGAGAGCATTTTCAAAAATAGGTAAAAGTAAGGAAGAGAAAAACATACATAAATTTTTTAAGACTTCAAAATGGCACGAAAAAGATTGCCCAAAACAATTAATCTTTATGGAGAGAAACTCAGAATTAGAACTAACCAAATTAAAGCGAACAAAATAATTGATTCAACTGTGAATTAGACCATTAGCCACTTTAGCCAGATAATCAATAACGTGTCTGAAAATTGATTTGAACCGAGCGAACCGACCCAAGATGCAAAATAATTTTCTGTGTTAAATGTATAGCCCGGTCAACTGAAAGATTCTTTAAACCAAAAGCTACTGTTTTTACCTATTTAATAAGTGATCTGATAAACATCACTTTTATACAATGTAAAATTCATATTCACATTTTGGAGGGTTATATGAAAATCATTTTAGACATAATGTTACGCATTATTGTTATTATTATTAATTTGTGTTAGATCAGTTGGGTAATTTAAATAACTAACAATTTGCCTGTCAATATTTTTCTCAATACAGCGATTTATAGTTCAAACATGACACTGCTGTCCGTGTCCTGTAGGAAAATGTTCATTTCATAGTTTAGGGTGTAATGAATGAGTTTGTCCATTTGACTGACAAAGTTGCCACCTCTTTTGTTAAACTGGTATTGTTCCCTCTATCTGTTGTCCATCCCTTCCCTGTACATTCATTCCCAAGTGCAGGAATTTATTCCATCATAACAGTATGCAGGTAGGGTCATGTAAACAAAAGCCAGAACAACCCCATGATGTAGTGTTCTATTGTGTTTTCCACCAGGACCCTTCCTTCAATCTTGGTCAGAGTATTTAAGAAAGTGTAATCTTGTATTTATTTTATCGTGTGTTTTAGAACATACAAAAAGAATTAATATATATATATATATATATATATATATATAATTTTATTAAAAATTTAAAATAATTAATAATATTAGATATTTTTACTAAAATTTAACTATTTTATAACCTATGGATATACTTCGCGGAAAGTTAAAACATTCAATAAGCTCAACTAGAAAATTGGGAGGGTAGCTCAATAGCTGATTAATTAATGGAATTTGGTTTTTTTGAAAGTAAATGATAACAACTGTATATAGTGAAAAAGTAAAAATACATTGATTTGAATTGAAGTACTTTTAAAATTAACAACGAATGCACTTTTATTTTTTCATTTCACTAGAACTAAATATTAATTCACACCGATGTATCCTGAGTCCTTCCTTGTTAGAATGAGGTGATACTATTCATGGGTCTTGGCCCAACCTCAAATGTTGACAAATAAGGTGCATTGATAGTCATATTTTAATATCACATGGCAGGAAGATAGTTGATAATGATGGAAATGGATAACCTTGCAAACCCAATATTTGCAACTTGGTGGGACACCCCATCTTCTCTACATCTCAGTGGATAGTGTCTATCCTTCATCTCACCAAATACCACATGCAACCTTTAGACTATTGGCCTTGCAAGGTGAAGTCAATTATCTTTGCCCCACTTTGTCACAAAGAGCATGTGCAATACAAGTGCATTCCAAACCTCATCCACACCATTGCAAGACAAATCAAGATAGAGGAGTTGAATTGCATGACCTCTTGGTCTAAATTTGATCTGTTAATTCAACACTTTTGTTCATGTTTTTGGCTAATGATAGAGATCAAGATGCTTAGACTTGTTGACTAACTTTATTCCAAGTATTAATAATTCATATTTTAGTTAAAGAGAATGCAACTATATACAACCAAACCACTGTATAGGTTTACTATACAATTCAAAATGGGAAAAACTCGTCATGGAATGCATTTGGTCATCGATAAGCCAATAAATCAAAAGCATGTTGTATGCCTCCTACAATTAAGCCTATAAAGGTGGCACCAAATGCCCCCGATCTCTAAAGTCTTTGTTCCGTATTGTACCGTGGGAATTATGGTGGTTGTGGAAAATGAAAACAAAAAAGAGTCATCCAACGTGTAAAATATTCATTCAAAGTGAACAAATGAAAAAGAAAGTTAGCAAATAAGAGTGATCAAGTACCATATAATCCCTATTTCGTACCTAATAAGCTATCGTATCAAAAACAACCCTCATGCATTCCATGATCAAGGTTTTTCTTTTTTAACAACATATCTTACTCTTGCTTTATTCAAACACCCTGCCAATTTCTGCAACTATACATGGCAATCCAATTCAATTTGAATTTTAGATATAGGTCTTATCATGTATAGGATATTAAGGGTTAATTCTACATTGGTATGCTCAGTAGGTTCTAAATCATTAGCAAGATTTATTCCACTAACTATGTCTTCTAATGTTTGTTCAATGCGATGTTTTATTATGCTAATAATACGGTTTGCCTTCCATTTTATATGAAAAAAAAAATGTCTTCATGGTGATAGGAATCAGAGACACAAGATGAAATAGTTCGTCCTATATTGACTTCAAAGTTCGAGGAATTACATGTTAGCAAGTTACCAACCCCACAAGTAAAAACAAATAGACACGGATTAAAATGCTTGAGTCCAATGGGAAACATTCCAAAAGCATATTTATTTTCTTACGCCAAGCTATTCCTGTCGTACATAGTTAAATACGGAATCATCATTTTTATTTAATTCATATAAATTGGCATTGGGACATTATATTAAGTGAACTATAAAATGGTATTGTTGACAAAAATAATACAAACAAAAAGAAGGGAATAACGAGAAGATTTTCAGATTACTAAGGTCAACGGTCGATGTAATTTGTTTTGTTCTCATGCTCTAAACATATTATTTTATTCACTCACAACTGTATGATATTGGGTTAACCAGCGGCAATTAATTAATCCAAAGATTAGAGTCTCGTGGTATGTGTTTTAAACTGGTTATATATAACTTTCTTTAAATTCCACTTAGTAAGATTTTTCTAATAATAATAAAAAAAAAAAAACTTATGATCTCATTGAGAAGAGTAGTTTTTCTTCCCTAAGAGTATTTTTTATAATCCAATTTGGTAAGGGGAAAAATAGGCAAGATAAACTTAAAAAGAAAGAATATACTTTAAAAACAAAAAAAATGTATTAATATTGTCGTATTGGGTTGTTCTTCCTTTTTGGTTTTTACAACAGAAGTTTAGGCTTTAATTGTGGGTTGAGCACTAGGGCTTGCATTGGGAGGGATCATTATCACGACAACGGGAACTTAGCATTGCACGATGATGATTGATGAAGCACAAGTCACAGTCATGGTTGGTCCCGCATGCAAAACATCTTACAGGTTACCATAGCTAATAGTATAGCGAAGGCAATGGAATTATTGTATTAATTAGAAGGTGATATATGTTTATCTGTTGAAATTGAGTATATATGTTTATTGTCTTGATACTGTGGAGTCTTGTCAACAAAGCAAGAAAGATGTGCAATCCCACTACCAAAGTCAACCTGATTATCATCTTCCCAGAGGGAGTCTATTTTATTTTATTTTTTTCACCTTTAGTTAATTACCTCGTAATCATATTTCCACGCGACCAAACTTGATTATCATCTATACAATTTGAATTTCAATCCATCTATGTTGTTCTTTCAAATCATTAATTATTAGTAACAAACAAACAAACAATTGAGTGTTAATTTTCGAATTGAAAAGAGAAAAAGTAATGCAGATCCGAGTGATAATGGTAGGATTACCTTTTCACAGCAGAAGGGTCATGACAGCTTAAAAAATATTTGTTATTAGCAACGAAGGGCATGTAAGAATTAAAGATAATACAGATCGGATCCTCTCCAACTAAAATCTTCACCATAATCTAATAATGGTTCACATTAATAAAGCTAACAAAGTAAAAAATGATCATTTTAATTCTTACATATTTGTGAGATTACCAATGTATCACAACTCCTAAGGCATGTTTCACATTCTAACTGCCAAAAAAGTTCCCATATAAAATAAAATATCAAACCTTACATACATATATTTCTCCACATCTATTTTCCTTATTATATAGCAGTATTGGTTAAATAATGAAATAACGCTACAGGGAATGCAATTTCTACTGAGTCATACTTTTCAGGTTAACGTACTTGTGTTTTTACTCGGACCAGAATTTTCCTTCTTTTCAAGTGAGATATGTTTCTATATTTTGACAAAATGAGAATGTTCCAAGAGGAGGAATCAATGATGAACAACTACCGAAATATAGGAGATAAACAGGAAACTGGTCATCATCAATCATCTTTTGAGATTTGGAGCATCCAATGCTACAAATAAAAATATCTCCTAATCATACACAGAGATTTTTATTTTTTTTTAATTATGAGAAAAAAACTAAAATATAGTAGAGAAATTTATAAAAATATGAAAAAATTTCAAAAATTGTTTAATTTATTTTTAAAAAATTGTTTGATTTAAATTTTTTAACATATTTTGAAAACACATCATTGACAATTTTTTGTACTATGTAACTTTCCAATTTTTTTTATTCTTAAATTTCTGCACTTCACCTCCAAAAATTGCTATTAGCGATTTTTTAAATTTATATTTTTATATTTTTTTTAAATATCATATTTTAATATATATATATATATATATATATATTATTTAGAATCTATATTTAAAATAATTAGCCATATTTTACTTAAAAAATAAATGCTTTTCATTCATTTTTTTACACAACCAAATTCCCTTCCCACTCAATGCAACTCGCTTACTCTTATTTAATACTTGCTTTTAGTGATCACTCGGTGTGTTGACTGTCTACTTGATTTCATTATTGTTTCTGCATATTGTTTTCTTTACTTATTTTTCTTACTCTACTTTCTTTGTTAATTCGAGGGCAATTTTTATTTCGTGTCATTTGATGTAGGAATCAGTAAAAGCATTGTTTGATGGGAGTTTTTTTTTCTTTGACAAAATGTGCATTGAAATATTTGTTTTTAATGTCTGGAGGAACTTAAATTAATTTTGTCTTTTTTATAAAACTTGAAAAAATAGCTGGTGGAAATGGAAGGAGCTGGTTGGAATCTGGAAGCATAGTTGAAGATTCTGACAAAAGTGGAGAAAGAAGAAGCTGTGTTGTGGACTATAATTAATGGATGTGTGCTGTGAGGCCCAAATCTTGAGACCTGAGCGATGATTAAGGGGAGAAGGGGACCCACCACCCACGCCCCATTCTCAAACCAAAACCTTAAACATTTTTAAAAAATTATTGTCTATAATAATTTATTCAGCTTAAATAAAATTACTTGCAGTGAAAGATATCTTTTTTTATTATTATTAAAAAGATGATTAAAACTAATGCTTTTAGGCTATATTGTTTTTTTAGCAATTGTATTAATATATATATATATATATAAGTTGACGCGTGGCACACCCACATTTATATCATAAATTATATCGTTCACCAACTCCAATCACAACCCGGATATCACGGCAGGTAAAGCCAGTCTCCCAACCTTTCTTTCAACATAATCATAGTATTATATGTTCTTTAGAGTATTTTCTTTTTAATTATAAAAGGTTTAAAGGAATGGAATTTATCATATTTCAAAGTATTGAGGTTTAACCAACGTTTATAATAGAAGTACTTACTGTTACCGACCATTGAACTCGTAACTTTTTATAATTTGAACAGAGAGTGGTTATTCCATTTATTTGAGTACCAACAAAAGCTTTGCAATTACTACTACGTACGAAGTTCATTCCAAGTCTAAGTAATATTAACGTGACAAACTGTCCATTGTTCAAAGTTTACGTGTCCTCTATTCTCTGGTCTTAACTTATTGAATATAAACTGCATAAAAAAAATATCTTGTATATAAAGTACCCCTAGTTCAACGATGAAAAAGCTGTTGTAAACTATTAATTTATGGCCTCTGTAGTAACCCTGCGATTGGTTTTCTTGTGACCCATCCCTCATCGTTCAGTTGATTCCAGGGAGGCTTGTGTCCATGGAGATTGAATTCCCCACAGATTTGGTTCGTTTATTTGTCCTTTTCACATTGTCTGTTGGAGGATCATGTCTCTCTCACTATTAACGTCACAAAAAGTAAATTTAAAAAGATTACTATCATATTTTATTATTACAATTTTTTACTAATTTTTATATGCCATTGTTAATAATTATTTTTAATATACTGATTAACTAATTTTAAAAAATATATATTTGATTACATTAAAGTTTTTATAAAGAGGTTTATTGATTATACTTTTAATTTGTTAACCAGAAAACTAAAGATACCGCTTAGTATATTAGTACATTTAATATGGAGGACATAGAAAAATAAATAACTGAGTTTTAGAATTACATAAAGGAGGCATTTAATTTCACCCCTAAGAAATGGTGGCATTTAATAAATGAAAGATGAGTTTGAGAATTCCGAATGTAACCCCTGTGAGTGCACAGTGCACAGTGCACAGTGCACAGTGCACAGTGTACCTAGACCTTCCCCACCCCATAAGTACTCCCACTACCCACTCCTTCCTCATTCCCATATCTCTCTCCCCTTTTCATTTCTCTCTCTGTTCCTTCAGTGACAAAACAAAAAGCAAAGGAGGGGAATGGGTGTGGTCAGTGTGCTCTATGTTGCTTCCCTTATGTCCTTAATGTGGATAACAGAGGCTCGAATCCCAGGTGTCTACACTGGTGGCGCTTGGCAAAGTGCTCATGCTACCTTCTACGGAGGAGCCGATGCTTCCGGCACCATGGGTACGTACTATGTACTATGTAAAATGTAACATATTCATGGTTTCTGAATAAACATGTAAAAAATGTGTTCTAACTGATTCAGGAGGAGCATGTGGCTATGGAAACCTGTACAGCCAAGGGTACGGAGTGAACACAGCAGCACTGAGCACGGCACTGTTCAACAGTGGACTTAGCTGCGGAGCATGCTTTGAGATTAAGTGTGCAAACGACAAACAGTGGTGTCACTCTGGAAGCCCATCCATCTTCATCACCGCCACTAACTTTTGTCCCCCAAATTATGCTCTTCCAAACGACAATGGTGGATGGTGCAACCCTCCTCGTCCGCACTTCGATCTTGCCATGCCCATGTTCCTTAAAATCGCCGAGTACCGAGCCGGCATTGTACCAGTCGCCTATCGCCGGTACACGTCTTTTATTTTTCTTAATTATGAAAAAGTAACCAATGAATGAATTTTAATTTTTATTGGCCTAAATTTCGAATAATTATATAGGAAGGAGGTGGTTAGTGGTTATGAAATGTCACATTAATAGGATTGAGGACCGCAATGTGGTAGTTAGGGCTAGTTGTTGGCTACAGTGACTATGTTGTGGAAGCCAATAATGAATATTGTGTTGGTATTTACGCAGGGTGGCATGCAGAAAGCAGGGTGGTATCAGGTTCACGATCAACGGTTTCCGTTACTTCAACCTGGTGCTGATCAGCAACGTCGCGGGTGCAGGGGATGTTGTGCGCGCCTACGTGAAAGGTTCTCGAACGGGGTGGATACCAATGAGCCGAAACTGGGGCCAGAACTGGCAGTCAAACGCCGCTTTGGTGGGTCAAGCATTGTCCTTCAGGGTCGCCGCCAGTGACCGTCGCAGTTCCACTTCTTGGAACATCGTTCCACACAGTTGGCAATTTGGTCAAACTTTCACTGGCAAGAATTTTCGTGTCTGATCACTCGCCACGCGCCTTCACATTTTGATTTTGTTTTAATATATATTATTGAAAAAATACAACATTTTATTTTTTGTTTGGCTTCCCACCAATTAATATCTATTTACAGTTTTACCCTTTTTGGCGCCCATTTTCATGGTTGATTGATGCTGATCTTTTTGACTGCATGTTTTGGAGACTGTGACGGAGTGCAGAGGAAGGTCTTAAAAAAAGAGAGTGGGTGAATGTGAATGAACCAGTGTGTGACAGCTTATTGTGACAAGTTGTTGACTTTTGTTTCTCATTGGTGGGATTGATATTTGATTTTTTAATTTGTAATTGGGGTTTCGCGCGAGGTTGCTCTTTCCGAATTGGATGGTAGACTAGTGGTGTTATGTTACCTAAGAAGGGGAAAAAGAGACTAGGAAATATGCTGAAGCGGCTAAGAAAAAATGGTAGCCCGCGGCTAATGAATATTTTAATGGAATGAATGATGCTATTATACATTGTTTCATGCCTCTCAGGAAGTGTGCTATGAAGTTATATGAAGTCCAAATGGAAAAAGCATTTGGTATGTTTCCTTCTGGTTCATGCATTTGCTCTCTTACCTTTTTTCCTCTCTACTTTGGGTTGGGTGCATGCATGTGTGGGTTGGAAAAACTAGATGTGCAGTCAGGGCAAAAATGTTGTCAAATGAACAAAGTAACATTTCCAAGGATCTGGATTCAGTGCAGTTCTCGTCAAATTTTTGCCTAAATGCAAGATGCAGTTCGTGCGGAATTGCACTGGATCCGATCCCATTTCCAACTACTAAGAATATAGCTGTCATGTTAAAGAATATATTCTATTCCTGCATACAGCACATAACTCTGGTTACCAATTTGCTTTTGCAAAGCTACAAACCTAAAATGGAGAGAAATACTCCCGTACTCAGTATTATATGTAACTATAACCAACCTTTGGCACTATAATTTTGAACCAAATCCAATTTTGTTAGAACAAGAACGTAAAATTTAAGTTCGAGATCAGTCAAATTCCAACCACCCAAATGAAGCCTCAAGTTTTCCTTCGCTTTGACAATTTCCATTGCTTCATTAAATGCGAAACACCCTCTTTCAACAAAGCCTTCCTTCCTTCCTTAAAATTCCAGAGCTCCGGTAATGGGTATCTACCACTAGGGTTGTACTCGTTCAACTCCATCAGAGCTGTAGTAACTGCTCCAAAGACCTCATCACCAAACTCATCTTTTAAGGTTCGCAGTTTTTCATCTTCTTCATCTAAAATTTCCTGTCCAACATACACAAGCAAGATTGTGATCCATGCATGAAACATCGGGGAACAAAAACGTGCAAACGAAGTGCTGAATAGATGACCAACTCCTTGCTTGCCAATAGATCTTTAAACAATATCTACAGCACACCAAGCTTTGTAATAACTACTATGAAAAGATACATAGCATTTTTCAAGAATCACTTAGCTTGGATAAGCAATCTGGTGATTTCCGCACTTAATAACCACACGAATCATTTACTTGGTATAAAAAAGGACAACTATTTGAAAACGTACCTTGGCATTCCCTTCTTTATCTGTTAAAACTCTAAATGGAAACCAGCTTGGATCTCTAAGATAATCCTCCCACTGCGAGCACAACTCCACGGCTTTCACATTCACTTCATCATCAGAAAATTTTCCCTTAGCTGCTTTCACAAAGGGCATTCCATCAAGCTCCCCCATTCTTTTCACACCAATAAAAGCCCGTGTCTTGGTCTTCCCGAGCCGCTATGAACAGAGAAAATAAATCACTTAAAATACAAACAAAACCATCACCGCAACAGTAACAAAACAAGCTAGCTGAACTACGGAGCATATTTAGCTAGAAGCCTAAGCAACAGGGCAGCATGAAGCCAACAAGGCAAAATAACTTGAGAAAATCTGGACTCCTGTAGATCTGATCAAATTCTACCATTTTTTTAACCCAAAATGCTAACTGATTAAATTAAAATCAATGCCGTTGACAAAGAAGAATCGAGCAACCACATGATTAACAGAAGAGGGCAGTACCAATGAAAAACTGCAATTATCAAATATGGAAACAAGTGTTAAAACACATGTATAGCATGAGTATTGCAAATACATGCAAACAGATGACTTTCAGTCATCGCTGCCAATCACCAATTTCATGTTCTGAATATGATTCCAACTCGATGATTAGAACGTTAACAAGTAGAATAGTATAAAACCAGTTGTGTTTCAACTAAAAAAAAGGCAGACAACGATACATTCTACAGAATATTACCAGATCATTTATACATATAAAGCCCCCTTTGTCTCTCAATTTTGAAAATGATTACTTGGAGAAGGGTTTTCAGTTGAAGACCTAATGACATAATTACATTAAAGAGATTCATACTTATGTATGGAAAGATACACATACGTGTATTAACGCCTTGCGTGCATCTTGCAATTCATCATTGGTTTTACGCTCCTTGACAACGAGAGTTTGATTAAGTTCTTCCATTCCTTCCAATTCCTCCTCCTTATCCTGCAGATCCAATTTAATTGCATCCATTTTCTTTTTCTCTTCCTCATCATCTCCCTTCATGTGTTCCATTACTTGCAGAGCTCCTTTCAATTGTTCAATTTCCAATTCCAATGCTTGTTTGGAATCAAGTTTTCTTTGTAGTTCATGAATTTTTTTATGCAGTTTCTCCTTTTCTTTCTGCATTTTTCAACCACAAAATGACATAGTCAAACCTAACAGATACACGTAACACAAATAAATTAAGTATAGTACAAAGAAGAAAATGAAATTTGTGCCTCCTGTTCTTCTGCCAAATGCATCACTTTCTCATCAGCCTTTTTTTGCTCCATTATTGCCATCTCATTCTGAAAACAGAAAGAGAAAAAATGAAGTTCATCGGTCTTCAAATATTTAAATAAGGGGAGCGTTACTTGGTGGAATTTGACACAAAAAGCTACACATAAACTTAAGCAGCCAAGACAGATTACTTTTTTCTTTTGAAGATATAATTTTTTTCTCTCCTTTTCATTTTGGGTTTGACGTTTGTGAAGACCATTCTCTCGCTCCTCTAGTTTCTTCCTCTGAGCTTGCAAATGCAATCTGGCTTTTTCATGATCCATAAAAACTTTCTCCAATCGAGCACGTTCACTTCGCTGCATCTCTTCAATTTCTAAAAAAAGGTGAAACACAGAGTAAGCTACCAAGAAAGATCACAAAATTACATGAACTACACATGAAATGACAAGATATAATAACAATGCAAACCAGAAGTTTTCACCTTGCAACTCAGGGAAACACACAGTAAGCTACAATGAAAAAAAGAAAAGAAAGAAACTAAAATGAACTTAAACAATTCACTTCAAGCTCCAACATACCATCATTGAATGACTTAATAATCTCCTCTTTCTCATCCACCGCTCTTTTCAGGGACACATTAATATCATCATATTTGCTGCATACCTGTTCCAACTTCTTATTCTTTGTTTTCAAGGTATTAGCTAAACCTGAGACAAGCAGTGATGTTTTCCTTCTGTCCTCTGCTTCTTTTCCAGAAACAGTCTTCAAATCCCCATTTTTACGAAGGTGATCTCCTATTTTACTTCTGGAGTTGTAGTCATCATCACGAGCCACCCATCCATACAGTCTATCCCCTCGGCGTGTGGAACTATAATAATCCTTCTTACCACAGTGTTGCACTTCAAAGCTCCTTCCAAAGTTCATTGCATTGGTGAAACCCTCCCAATCCTTGTTGAACTCCACAATGGCAAAGCCTGAATGTCCATTTCGATTCCACAATGGATGAACTCTCAAGGGATGAAATCCTTTCAGGGTAAACTCATCCTTCAGTTTGGTACCACTTTCTCCAACAAACCTTCCATCTTTGAATTCCGTAGCAATGTTTGCAACAACACCCATACAAGGCCAGACAAGCAATTGATCTTTGGCAACAGGCTCTGATCCAACATTCACATAGATATACTTTTCAATGTATAACTGAAGAGCAGAGTGCTTTGCTATATCTTTCATCCTCACGTCCTGTGAATCCCTGACAAATCGTGATGCATGTTTCAAAAGCTCGCTCAAGGAGTAATCCCGCTTGTCCTCGCAGAAGGGACACATATATAGTGACTTGGAGGTTTTGAATTTAAAGTAATCATTTTTCAAGTCTTCATAATATAAGCGTTCATAATATTTGAAGTCAGACTCACGGGTTCGTTCTGATTGACGAGACATCTGCAAACGAGAAATTTACGATTAATTGCAATGCATTTTTGGTAATGCTTAAATACATAATATATATACAAAAACTCGATTGTTTTGTTATGAGCTTTCTTGGAAAGGCAATAAAAATAAGTTATTGTATTTTCAAATAGAGTTAAACCACGCATTGAACCAAGCACACATAACACAATAGAAAATTAAACAAGGAAACCGTTTTCGAATAAAGAAAAAGCATGTAGTGTAATACCTTGTGCTGGAAGAATAGTAACAACGACGGTCACAAGTTTTGACGAGGATCAAAGCTCAAGATCAAAGTATGAGGGCGGAATTAAACGGAGGAGAAACGGTAAACACTGCAGAAGCCGAAAAGTTGTTACCCTTGGCTCGTCCACAACCACAGGAATATTAGGTTTTCATTATGAAAATGGAATTGAAAGAGCAAGCGAGAGTGAGAGATAGAGGTTTCTGTTCAAATTTGTTGCTGGAATAACAATAAATCTTCTGCTATGCCAGTGCGCGCTAGGACTCCTGTTTGTTTCCAACTTTCCATGAACATTCCATCCTCTTCTTAGGGTAAACTCCCTCAACTATTTAACGACTAAAGGCCTTTGAATTTTAAATTATGTCGTTACAAGATTTTTCAAAAGTATTTTATTTTTTTCTTTGAGTTTTTATATTTTCGATGAGTAGGTTTTTTAAATAAATTACTTTTAAAATAATATTTTTTATTATAATAAGAATAATAAAATTAATTCACAATTATTAATTTCTGAAACAAACATTTAAATTTTTAATTTTAAATAATTGACTAAAACGAAAATTACCTTTTCTTTCTTTTCTAAAACTTTATGTATGAATTTATTTACTTATTTTATTGTAAAAATAAAATCTCCCCAGCTCGTCTCACTAGACTTCTGTAAAATTTCATTGTAAATATATTTGGGTGACTAGTTGCTAATTTTGCGCGACTAATTGAGGAATAAAAAGTTTAACAAGATTAACTTGATGTTATGATAGAATTTTAAGGATTAATGCAACAATTAACCACTTAAAAAGCTGTCACAATAACACTTTAATTTGAAAAACAACATTCTAAAACATCAAAACAACCAATTTAAGAATTGATAATTTCTAAAAAAAAGCTCGCATAATCATCAATTGAATTGCACTGACAAATGTAAATTGTGGTAGGCAGCAGTCGCCATCATCCGCCATGCGAAGTTCAAACCACAATCAAATATCCAAAAAGCTTAATAATGCAAACAATGCCAATTGCCATTAGTTAAGGAAGGAGCTCTGACCTTGCCAGTACCAGTAGGATGATCATCGGCTACCGCTTGCAAGGCGCCAGAGCCAGAGATCCATAATCAAGGTTTTGGATAAAGAGAAAATATGAAAAGAAACTGTGTTTCTAGTGGTATAATTATTTACAGTGTAGTAGAAAATGTTTTTTAAAATAATATATAAAATAATCGGCTTTTTTATTTAATTAATACATTTTAAAAAATAAATTCCCAAAATATTATTTTTTTGAAACTAATTCTTTGTCTAAGCTTTTTTTTTTTTGCCAGAGGTAATATCGGCCATGTACCGACGATAGTCTTTTTTTTATAATTTTTTATTACTCTATCGTCCACATATGTCTGATACTAAGGCATAATCTAACACATGGATATTTAAAACGGCTGAAAAAATAAAAATAAAAACAAATACTAGTATCGCCCAATTTTTTACGATAGCAATTTGAAATAGACGGTTGGGGATGAAGTTTGACACGTGTCAAGATCGTATGTGTATCGGCTCTGACACAGGGACAAGGCTATCGTCGCATCTGTGGCGATATTGTCTGTGATGCTGCCACATGGCATATCAGGAACCGACGTCGCTCACGGCTTCTTCCCTTCGTCTTTCCCTTCCTCTTCGTCATTTTTCTCCATTAACGTCGGAACGCAAGGTAATTTGGAGCAGAATTTGTGAAGAAATAGGCTTTAATTTGTAATTTTGTGTGAAAAATTGAAAGGTAAGAATTAATTTATTTAATTGATAATATTTTTGTTGAGTTTCATTTAGAAAAGAATAATCGATTTGAATTTGAATTTTCGGATTTTCGTGTAGTAAAGTGGAATAGAAATTTTTGCCGGCATTTGAGGTTAGTGATGAATAGATAAAATACAGTTTGATGTATTATTTCTAATTTTTTTTCGATTTTTAGTATGTTTTTTTTATTTATTATGAATATTGTGAATGTAAGTATAGAAAAATATTGTACATTTGGCTGGAACCGTAAAATAAGGCAAAAATAATATATAGAAAATAATTTTTAGTATTTTTTAAACTGTAAATTATAGATAAATTTTATTTTGTTGACTGTAATTAATATAGTTGTTAATTTATGGTGAAAAAGATTATATGTAGATGTTGGTTGATATTTAAAAAATATATGTATAAGTAGTGTAATTTTGTTATTAGTTGTAATATTATGTTGTAGAAAAAAAATATAAATGTTATAATAATTAAAATATAAAAAATATATAAATCTAGTTAAATCATAAAATATTAAATTACACAATTAGTTATATTAATAAAGATAATAAGATAAATATATTATTAACTAAAAAGTATGAAAAATTATATTATATTAGTTGTAATATTATGTTTAGGGAAAAAAAATATAAACGTTATCATAGTAAAAACATAAAGAAATATTAAAATTTAGTTATATCATAAAATATTAAATTTAAAATACACAATTAGTTATATTTATAAGATAACAGGATAATTAGATTTAGAAATAAAATTGTTATTAAGTAAAAAGTTTGAAAATCCTTGACATTTTATTAGTTGTAATATTATGTTTACGAAAAAAAATATAAATGTTATGATAGTTAAAATAAGAAGAATATATAAATTCAGTTGTGTATTTAAAATTAATTTTAAAATACACAATTAGTTATTGATAAAAGATAATAAGTGTAACATGAAATGTTGCTGTTATTGGCTTGATGCATAATTATTAATTTGAAACTTTTCATTAAAATTTAATATATAGATATATGATATGATAGAAATTTGTATACTGATATTTTATGTGAGACATAAAAATAAAATACATAATTATTGTGTTAGATCTGTTATATTATTATCAATTTTGAAAAAAACTTTAAAGGGTTATATAATTGAGATTATATATTTTTTCATTTTATATTCTATTTATATTCTGTTAAATTTAATTTAGAAATTGTATTAGTAGTAGTTTAACAAATTGTATACATGAATAATTATTTTTAATGTGTTGATAATGATATTAATGTATTTATAATAATATTTAATTAGTAATATATATTTTTATTTATTTAGATGGCTTCATCTTCATCTCAAGGTATGATAATTAATCTTGGGCCAGAGGATCCATCTTTATTGCGTTTTCAAAGTATACATGTCTCTGAACACATTTGGAATGGGCGAGAGCATCCAATGTTGAAGGTCAGGAAGTCTCAATTCATACCAACTGGCATAGACGGTGTTCCAGCAGAGATTGTACCTCATTTGGAGATGACTGGCTTTGGTGGAGTTGCTCACCTTGCTAACTTTCCATTGGATAGAACTTTGATCACTGCATTGGTTGAAAGATGGAGGCCTAAGACTCATACATTTCATATGCCACCAGGAGAGTGCACAATAACGCTTGAGGATATAGCCATCCAGACAGGTCTTCGGGTTCATAGGCTTCCAGTATTTACAGCTACCGGAGGTAATTGGTTGCAGATGGTTGAGGACAGTCTAGGTATTAGACCACCACCGGAAGCTTTTGTAGGGAGTAGCTTGAAGCTTAGTTGGTTAGATCATCATTTCAGTCACATTGCCATGCATAAGCATGACGAGGTTCAGCTTATGAGATTTGATAGAGCCTATATTCTTAGACTCATTGGAGGGTTTATGCTAGCTGATCACTCTAGCAGCAGGGTGACAGTTCGTTACTTGCCGTTGCTTGAGGATTTTGCCATCACAGGGCAGTATAGCTGGGGAGTAACAGCTCTCAATTTTTTGTACAGATAGTTATGCATGGCAACAAACATTGATAGACATGCCATTAGAGGTTTGACTCCATTACTGGTTATGTGGGCGTGAGATAGGTTCCCATGTTTGGCTCCCCCTAATCCTCCACATTTATGACATGACCTTCCTTATGGTGCCAGGTATGAATACTATATGATAAGTTTCGTAATTATTTTTCATACTTTCATTAATACTTTGGAGTATATTTATACGTTATAAATTTTGGTGGTGTTTAGGTGGTTAGTAAATGGGGTGCCTAGAAGAGGGGAGAAAGATGTTGCATTTTATAGATATAAACTTGATCGTTTTAAGCGTGATGAGGTATGACTTTTAATTTTAATTTTAAACATTATTTGTTGAATTTGTTATTTTTAGAATAATTTTAAATTTTAAACATTATTCAATGTGCAGATCGTATAGCAGCCTTATAGTCAACAATTACTTTCTACATTGCATCCAATTTGCTTAGAAGGGATGGTGATTTGGAGGTCAATGGTGCCCCTTATTTGCATACAGATTTGTGAGTGGCACCAACCAGATCGTGTAATGCGTCAGTTTGGGATGGTGCAACACATTCCTCGACTTCCTTATCAACCTGATGCATTACATGACATCACACTCAGAGGTAAGACTGGAGAGAATTGGAATGATAAGTTCAGACATGTGTTAGCGTTATGGGAGAGGCATTTGGATTGGGTTTTCAGCAACGACCCACAGATTGGCTTATTAAGTTCAAATTCAGAGTACATGCGATGGTATTCTCGTCATACTAGATGTTGGATGACGAGAGATGCAACTGTATTTTCATTAATGGTATGTATATCCACTTAACAGTGCCTATAATTATCTTGTATTTTGTAAACCAACCATAATTTTATGTTTGTGTAGGGAGATGCACATGAGAGAGCATACTACTTGGCTACTGATGGCCAACAGTCATTCACTTTTGATGAGCTGCGATCATTAGCTGAGACCATGTTGTCTTTACAGAGTGAACAAGCTCGGATCTTAGAACCGTCACAAGGAGTTGAGCCACCTGTCCAAAGTGGACACACTGAGGAGCCACAAGTTGATATTGGACAGCCTGAGGGACGCAAAGAAGGGCGAGGTTTGCATCGACGGAGGAGGCAGGTGCAAGCTGCGACATGGTCTATACCGCCTTTGCCAGTTAGACAAGATGGTGTGTATTTTGTCCCGTCACAGATGCCTTTCATTCCATCTCAGTCTACACAGGCTTCTTACTTTCATTCATCACAACCTACCACACATTCTACATCTTCATTAAGTAATGCAGAAGACTATGTTATTGACTTTTATCATTTTATGACCCCACCTCCGTATGATCCGTTACTATTCACAACCTCCGCTCCAGGTTCAGTTATTGGGTCAGTAGGAGAGCCTTCTAGGTTTCTTTGCGGGATCAAGGCATTGATCTAAATGCCCAATTTAGAACAGTTGCAGCTCCTATCCAGCATGATATCAGACGTAACCCTTATAGGGAGGCCAGAGATCGACCTCGTCATTGCATCCTCACACC